TTTTTTATGAAAAAGGTTTAGGCATTGATTAAATTGAAGGTAGTGATGGTTTTTATTAATTTTCTTGAAGCAATCTTTGCAGTGAGTAGACATTTAAGTGGTACAATTTATAAAATGAAATGATTGAATGAACTGAAATAAGGAAACAAAGAGTAATATGAACAGCAATATAACCAAAAATAATAAAAATAATAATAGTATTTATTAACAATATAAATATAATTCAATTGATAAAATAGTAAAACAAAAATAATAATTTAACAGTTAAAATAAAAAATACTATTAATAAAGTAAAAGAAGAATAACGTAAATATATATTAAAAAAAAGTTATAATTGGTTAAATGATAAGTTGTAAGTATAAAATAAAACAATTTATATTAAAATAATTATAAATTATAAATAATTATAAGTAAAATATTATAGTTATAAAGAGTGGAAAATATAATAATAAATTATTAAGTTTATACTTAGTATTATAAGTTAATAAGTAAAACTATAGTAACTAAGGTAACAAACTATATAGATATATAAAAATGATAATAATAATAATAATAATAATAATAATAATAATAATAATACTAGTAGCAATAATAATTGTTATAATAACAATAATAAAAACAATAATAAGTATATATAATAATAAACAATATAAGAAAAAAGAAAAAATTAATGAAAACAAACAAGAAAAGCTAGAAAAAAAAAAAAAAAAAAAATTCAAAAATAAGAATAATTACATTAAATTGAAAGCATATTTTAAGGTAAACAAACTAAATCCTTTTAAAGTTTCACTACAATCTTCTGGCACTACTAATACTTTTTCTTCTTTGTTTTTTCTTCTTTCTTAGATTACTTAATTCTTCTTCTTTTTTTTAATTTTTTTTTTTTTTTTAAGTTTATTAGTGTTTTAGTTTGATTTTTTTTTTTTTAGATTGAAGTTCTTTTTTTTTTTTTTTTTTTTTTTTTTTCTTTTTTTTTTCACTTTTCAAGTGCGTTTGTTTAAAGACGATCTTAAGACCGCTAACAAATTATTTATGCATATAAAACAAATTATTTACTTGTTATTATAATTTGGTTTTATCTTTAATTTTTATATTATCTTTTCTTTTCTTTTCTTTTTCTCTTTTACCGTTAAAAAAACGTGACCGCCATTTGCGAAGACCTACCACTCATATAGGAAGATCTAAATTATTGCGATAACAATTGGCTGAAAAAAGTTGAGTTTTATCTGAATTAAAGCCACTGTGAGCTCCATGCTGTATCATGTAAGTGAGATCCTATTCAAGCTCAAATGCTCCCTCAAAGCAGTCAGAGAGTGTTGGCTTCTTATCAAGACAAGAATAAATGATAGTATCATCAGCGAGCAGATGTTCTGAGAATATCTGGAAGATTGTTAATATAAATTAAAAAGAGTATAAGGCCAAGGATAAAACATTGAGTAACCCCTGAAGTTATAGGATATAAAGAAGAGTGCTGTCCATCAAGAACAACTTTATACTACAATTGGAAAGGAAGGATTCAATAATCTTAAAGATGTTTCCAGATACACCATAAGAAGAAAGCTTATGGAGAAGACCAGCATGCCAACATTTATCAAATGCTTTAAAAATGTCAAGAGCGATGGCCTTAACCACTCCACCTTAATCTAATGCACAATAGAACTTATAGGTTATTACTGTTAGCAAATCAGCCGTAGAACGAGAAGATTGAAATCCATATTGATGATCAGAAAGTAAGTTATTAGATTCAAGATGAGAGTTTAAGTGTTTGTTAATAAAAGATTCAAAAACCTTGCTTATGATAGGAAGAAGACTAATGGGGCGGTAGTTAGACGAATCAGATCGCTCTCCAGAATTTTTTAAAATAGGAATAACAGATGCTGCTTTCCAGCAGGCTGGAAAACAAGACTCTGAGAAGCACTTGTTTAATAGTTTTGAAAGGATAGACGACAGCTCCGGAGAACACTTCTGCAAGACTATAACAGGTATGTTGTCCGGGCCACAAGCTGTAGAAGAATCTAAGCAGTAAATCACTTTAGATATAGAAGCTGGAGTAATACGAATGTCAAGCAATGGATCAACCTCTGTCTGAACCATACAAAAGAGGTAGAATTACAGACTTGCCCTTATTATTGATACTGTTAAAGATTCTCCAGAAGTCACAAGAGCCTAATTTTTGTGATGAATACAAGATTTCATGATCTGAGAATAGCAGGCTTTGGCATTAGACAAAACCTTTTTACAATGGTTCCTAGCAGTAATAAACAGACGTCTGTTTTCTGGCCCTACCCTAAGCCATAACAAAGGACTTCAATGTGGCCTTGGCAATGCACACCAAAAGTACAATCAGGGACACCATCCATGCACAACATGGCACTGTTAATACTTTGATATTTTTCAGCTGTTGATGGAATCAGCCTCTCTGAGAGCTACCACAGAGTTCAGGAAACCTGACTACCAGCTGGTCTCAGAACTATAAAACTAAGTTTTAAACTGTACCCTAATTAGGAGGTAATAGAATGAGTTGCCTAGTCATAAAAAAAAGTCAAAAAAAGAGTTACAAGCAAAACCCATGCATCGAGTCAAGAAGATCTAGCATTCAACATCCTAAACTGGAAACAGTTTATGAAAAATACATCTGCGCCAGCCTTATAGATGATTTGAACACGCTTATTTTGACACCAAACAATTAAAGATGACACTTGCAAAAGTTTTTAGTATTTGATGAATTTAAACAATTTATACATAAATTATATATATATTACTATTATTTGTATCATGCACAACAATAAAAAATGTATAAAAAACGTAAAAAAGGTAAGCTTTTTAACTAATTTAAAAAAAAAAAAAATTAAAAAAAAAAGAGTTTCTATGGGGCATGTTTTTGCAACCAAAGATCAAAAGCATATATTTCTATAAACAAATTTAATAATGCCAGCTTTTAAAAATATACCCATTCATTTTTAAGTAAAAATATTGAAAAGTCAAGCCCCTAACCACCATTCAGTAAACTATTGGATTCTGGTTGAGTCTTCCTTAATAATTGGTTAATATTTATAACACTTATCATAAGAGTTGTCTGCAAATAGTATTCATAGCATAATTAGAAATAGATTCAGAAAGGTCATTGATGAAAATCAAAAAAAAAGGTTCTGTGGTATACCAATATTCTTTCTACATTATATTGTGCATCATTAACTTTTCTAAACATTCTTCTATTGTTTGTCTGTGGAAAACCATAAGACTTTAGTTTCAAATTTCAGTAAATTAAAAGAATTTTTGAAATCTATAGATACAAAAAATTTAAAAGTTTTTTAGGATTTTTTATTTTTACTCATTAAATGACATGCAATGCAGTTTCAATAAGTGATTGCATCTGAAACCATGTTGGTTATCATTGAGTAAATCATTTTGTTTAAAGTATGTAGTTATTCATTTGGCAATTGTTCAATCATGACATCATGTTCAAACACTTTCACTAATGAAGATATTATAGTAATAATTCTATAATTATTGATTTCATGTGTTTCACCTTTTTCTTTATAAAATGGCATATTGCTACCTGTTATAAATTCATATGAAAAAATCCTTATTTCTAAATGTTTGCTGAATATAACTATCAATGGATCAGTGATTGATTTTTTTTTCAAACATTTTTAGTTGGAGTATATAAATAACTGCTGCAACTTTTTTCTTTTAAGTATTTGTATTGTAAGTACTAATTGCGTCAATAAATTCATATTAATTGATTGGATGAAGAAAAAAAAAATTATAAATTTTAAATCTTATTATATGTTTTAAGTTTATTTAATTATAGTTAACAAAATTGTAAGAATAAATTAATCCTCAATCCGAATTTCATTTGAATATACTGTAGAATTTCTTGAAAATGTAGACTTGTCAATGTTTGAGTAGGCCTTCTTTTTGTTGTAAAGTATTTAATCAGGGAAAGAGAGTATCTTCAAAGCTCAATTTAATTTTAATAAATTTTGAATTATAAAATTTTTTTGAGTTACTATAATCTTTAGGTTTTTTGTTTTTCAGATTTTCATTCATTCTTTTTTTCTTTTTTTTTTCTTTTCTTATTTTTTTTTCATTTGTTTCTTTGTGTTATATCAGGTATTTTTTTCAATTTTTTTCAATTTTTTTCATTTTTTAAAATATTTTTATCTCCACGCAGTGGCCTTGTTTGTGAAGGTTTGTGTTTTGGAGTTATTGAGATGAGAGAGGGTTATAACCGCAATTATAGTACTTGACTGTAGTGGCCAACTCGGCCTTGGGGAGGTAAATTGAAGTGAAAAATAGTTTGTCAGTTTATCATTTCTTTGTTAAATAAAATTTCTTCTCTTTTTTTTAAACATTTCAAAGGTTGATAAATCTTTAGTTTTGGTGTAATAAAAATGATAATAATCATAATCAATTTTTTCAAACTTGATCGAAGCAATTAAGTTTGAAAGATCAAAGCAGATTTTATTCTATATATGTATTTTTATCACTTGTTTTGGCAATGCAACATTTAAAATATATGCAATGTTAAACTTGAAATTATCACATAAGTTGGTAGAATTGTCATTTATATTGAATTGTAAAATTGAATTCATTAATTGCATTGGATAAAAATTTTTTCTTATTTAGTTATCTGATTTTGATTGTTTTTAAATAATTTAAAAACAATTTTTTAAGTTTATTTAAGTTTTAGTAGTTTTGAGTAAAAAAAAAAATTATAAAATTAAATTGTAAAAAAGATTTGATTATTAATTAAATTATTTATTCAAATCATAGCTATTTTGATATTTTTCCAGTTCAATACAAATTCTCCTATTAAATCAAATTGATTTAAAATGATTAGATAATAATGATAATCATCATTATCATCATCATCATCATCATCATCATCATCATCATCATCATCATCATCATCATCATCATCATCATCATCATCATCATCATCTAATCATTTTAAATCAATCAAGTATGATTCAAAATTGATTTTACTTTGTTAGGAATGCAACAAGATACAATTTATGGACCTAATCCTTATGGAGTTAGCTTAAATGAAAAATTTTTACCTCAATATCTAAAACAGCAAGGCTACAAAACATATGGTGTGGGAAAGGTAATAAAAAGTTGTCATTTTTATTCTTTGCAAATTTACCACCATTAGGTAATAATTTCTATAATACCTAAATGGTGGTTTAATGTGTTTCATTAGTGTTCAGTTGATTGGTCTTGTTTTTATTTTTGTTTAATAATTGCACATTATTAATATGTGCAGTATACCCTTTTTTTTTAGTGGCATCTGGGCTTTTTTGCAAAAGAATACACTCCTACATATCGAGGTTTTGACTCGTATTATGGTTCTTATCTAGGGAAAGGAGACTATTGGAATCACTCAAATACGGAGACTTTCTCTGGATTAGATCTTCATGATAATGAAAAAGTAATCATTGTAAAGAGTTTTTTACAACTTTTTTTTAATGCTTTAAAAAAATATGACTATTTGTTACATTTTGTATATATGTGCAAGGGCTGATGCAGAATTTTTTGATGTTTCAGATATAACACTTTTGAACATAATGAAAATTCCCAGTTTAAGCATGTTCATGCTTTTGTAAAATATGCTCAAATGAAACCCTTGGCATCAGATCATTTCAGTGTGATGCCTTATCTAAATTCACCTTATCACTGCTTATCTAAACATGCATTTATATTATATTATTTATGTATATATATATATATATATATATATATATATATATATATATGTATATATATATATATATATATATATATATATATATATAATATATATATATATATATACATACCTGTATAACATTTTTATATTTTGTAATGTAATGAAACTAGGTTACAATGCCTGTTAATCATATGTGGCAAGACGTAACATTTTTACATAATGAGGCATAATTTTATGAAACTGTTACATAACATGTTTACATAACAAAATGTAATGTATGTACTTTTATGTAACGCGATGTAACATTTTTACGTATCATTACATATCAAGTGTCTGTTATTTTTACATAAAAAGTAACATTATTAACCTTATGAGATTACATTGATAATCTTACATTTTAATGTGTGGTTTCTTAATGTTTTATAATTTTTTATTTTTTATATATATAAATTCCTTTATATATAAGTATATGAAAATATATATAAGCGTATGTAAGTATAAATTTATATTTGAAGTAAAGAGTAAATAGTAAATAGATATAAAGTAAATAGTAGATACATAAAAAAAAATACTAATTAAACATTACAAATAACATGTTATTAACACAATAGTAGATTTAACTAATTTTAACATTGAAATTTCTAGATACACTGATCATAACACTTTTTATATATTTTTGCTTGTAGGTTTACAAAGTCACCTATTAAAACTAAACATTTATATATTTTTGCTTGTGGGTTTACAAAGTCACCTATTAAAACTGAACATTTATATATTTTTGCTTGTGGGTTTACAAAGTCACCTATTAAAACTGAACATTTAACTTTTTTTATACAAAAAAAAAATTGAAAGTGCTTTCATTTTTTTTTTTTTTTTGAAACCTGGAAGAATTTTTTAGCCAATTAAGTTAAAATATTATTAGGGTATGTTAGAAAATCTAATTTTAATAATTCTAATCTATTAATTCTTCCGGGTAAGTTATAAAATCTAATTTTCGTATGTTCATACTTATGTAACTTAATGATTTTATGGCAATAAATCGCGCAGATTAAAACCTAAGAATGTCAAGACCATAATAAGTATGCATCACTTGGCTAAATGCCTATTTTTTAAGTAGGCATCATCTCCCATCATCATCATCTCCCATCATCATCATCATCTCCGACTTTCAGAAAAAATCTGATCAGCAATCCTTAAATAATGTTTATTAAATCTTAAAATCATTGATAATTTTCAGTATATTTTAGTATATTATATTTTCCTTAATACAAGGCATTAAATAATTTTTGGAAAATTGTCCCACCCACCCTAAGCTTATTAAGACCCCCTTCTCCTTCCCCCCTCCCCACATTTATTAATTTTTACTTGTTATCTAAAGTTAAATCTTAAGACTAAAAAAAAAATTCTGTAAAAATTAAAAATAAAAAGTAAAAAAATCATTATTTCAGTCCGAAAAATAGCCACGCTAGAATAAAATAGTTTTTAAAAAATTCTGCATTCAAGACGTATTTTAATTGTACCATTTTTTTATGTTACATTATGTCTCAATTTTTTTATTTAAAAATAAAAAAAACCAATTGAGACATAGCATTGCGAATTGATGTCTTAGATTTGAGACATAATTAAAATACATCACATTATAAAATACGCATTATAAAATATATAACATTATATTTTTTGAAACTTTAAAAAGTGTAACCAATTGAGATACTGTAACGTAAAAAAAAAAATCTGTATTTGAGACATATTTTAATTGCGCCTTTTTTTACATACGTTACATCTCATTTGGTTACATTTTTAAAAGTGAAAATAAAAATTTTTAGTGATCGACTGAAATTTAGTTCCGGCCACAACTCTGACTGGATTTTTCAGTTCCTATTCTGGTTCCGGTATTATTTATGATTTCGGTTCCAGCCGTAATTTCGGTTCAAAATGGTACCCAAAATTGATATCTCAAAGCTTTATTAAGAATTACCATTTTGATAAAATAATTTAAAAAATATTTTTTAAATTAAATGATAAGCTTGAGAAATAACGGAAATAAGATTTTGCTTTGTTTGAAAACAAAATATTTTTCTTGTTTAAAATAATATTCATATCTTGTAAGGTTTTTTATTGTTATTATTTGAAAGAAATATTGTTGTTATGAGTATAACTTTTATATAAATAGATATATAATAAATATTACAATTAAAAAAATCTAACTTTATTCTAATTTAATATAATTTATAAAGTGTTAAATTGTCTGTTGTTTCTCTTTAAACAACTCTTTTTTAAATTTAGCTCACAAGTTTTTAATTGCATTTATGCAAAAATTTCCCTCGGAAAAGAATTTCCAATTGGACAACTACTTCAATTGAACAACAATTTCAACACAATAATTTCCTTAAGGGAATTGTAGTGTTAAAATCGTTAATATTTCTCCAAAAAGAGCATATTGTTAATTATTGTCCAAAGGGAATTTTTGTGTAGCAATCATTACAATAAATTTTGGAAATAGAAAAAACTTGTCAATTATATTTTTAACATTTGTATTTGAGGCAAACTAGCAACATTGAAAAACCGTTTTATATTTTATTCTATCAAAATTAATTCAAAAAGAAAAACAAGTTTAGCATGGAAATACTTAACAATTGAAGCAAACAATCCAAGAATAGTTCAGTGCAAAATATGCAATAGCAAAGTTTCAAGAGGATCAGGCGACCCTAAAAAACAAGGATTATATAGACTAATGTCATACCTGAAGAATCATCATCCTGACAAGAATAAACAAACACTTACTGCGTTATCAAGTTTAATTAATATTTATGAAATGTCATAACAGCAAAAGATGAACTTTTACTTGTATTAACTTAAAATAATAATATTTTTTTCCAAATCAAAAAAAAAATCCCCACTATTGCAGATAAAAATTTGATCCCAGCTGTCTAAAAATGCAAAAAATTGAAGTTTTTGCATTTATAGTAGGGCATTTATAGTCACTTGAAAATATTTCAAAAACACTATGTTATTTTTTTAGCTTGATCTACTTTTAGGTTGTGTTTTGTTTTATTGGTAATAATGATGGAAATAATTGATCTTACTCATTTGCAATCATGTGTATATTTGAGAGATTTGAGGGGGGGGGGGGGTACATTTAATTTTTTTTTCTATATATTTTAAATAATAAAACATTTTTATATTGAAAATATATAGAAAAAAAAAATTTTTTATTCAAAGAAAGACTGTTTTATGGTTTTTATGCAAGATTTTTTATCAGTTGTTTTAAATTTTAAGTAATAATAAGTTACAACTATTATGTTTGCTTCTCTGTCTTCTTTTGTTTCTAAAAGTGAAGTCTTGACTAGAACTAGTAGCATGTTCTGCACTGTAATGTAGAACTAGAAGACTAGTGACAATTTTAAAAAAAATCTTTTATAATCTGAAACTAAGTATATAATAAATAACGATATATACACATATATATCACATAGCCACAATTTTTAACAAATCAAAGAAAAAACCAGTTTTCAGGTCCAAAAAATTTCAATTGTTGTAAAACTTGCAGGCTTTTCTGTTTGAGCTAATTCAAAAGCTAATTTAATTTACAGAAGTTAATTTACTGAAGTTAATTTATAGAAAAATATTTATCAGCTAAGCGCTAATCTTTTATTTAAATATCAACTGTTTTTTGTGTTCTTAAAGTGCCTTCAGCACATATTTCATAAATTAGTTTTCGTTATTGCAATGATATTATATTGGAGCTAAATTTTTCTCAATAGGTTTTTGAATAAAAATAGGAACAATATCAGACTTTATATATTTCTAAAAAGCTGAAGATACTGTCTTATTATCTCCATTATCGCAAGTATCTAAACATTTTATTGTACCCTTAAATTTTTCACTAAACAATCTTTGCTTCCTAATGGACCCTTATAACCTTTAAATTTTTTTTCTTACTTCACTTTTTATTTTGCAAAATTTTTTTGCGCGACATTTTTCGAACATGCAATCCTTTCTGATCATGGAGAAAATTTACATCTACTTGTCTATTTTTTAAAACTTGTGTTTTATCTTTCAAGATGATGAGTTTTTTTATTTTTCATCAAAAAAATTTTCCTCTTTTAAAACCACACTTTTGCCTTAAAGGTTGCGTGTTAAAATTCTTTCTATTCCTTTTTAAGTCAACAATCTTATCTCTAAATCGCAAGTCAAAAGTAAAAGAATTCATTAAAGATACTGTAACTAGAAACATTTATATATTGATATTTTTATCATGAAAACATATTAGGTAATCTTAAATAGTTTAAACTGTAAATTTATATGTACTTAACTATAATATAGTAAATATGTTAGTCAATATTTTCTTCACCTAATAAAGGACACATGTTAATTTTTTTTAGATAGTCGATGCAGAAACACTCTGCGCATGTTTTACATTAAAAAATAAAAATAAAAACATTCAGAATGTTTTTATTTTAAAAATAAAAAAAAAACATTAAATTTTGTCAGTTTTACATACAAGCGAAGAGCGATTTTTTACTACAAAAACTTTTTCTTAGCCATAAACTATAGGAATATATATATATATATATATATATATATATATATATATATATATATATATATATATATATATATATATATATATATATATATATATATATATATATATATATATATATATCCTTATAGTGTAGTCGAAAGAGACTTTTATGGTAAAAAAAGTCTCTTTCGACTACAATTTTTATTACCTCGTCTCTTAAGCTGTATTTGATTGTCATCGCCAAAAAAACTTTCTAGTCATTATTATTGCCGTTTTTTTAAAATACAATAAAATTTAATGTACTTCCGCATTAATTTAATTGCTTTGACATTTTGACGACAATAAAATACAGTTTAAGAGACGAGGTAAAAAAATTGTAGTCGAAAGAGACTTTTTTTACCATAAAAGTCTCTTTTGATTACACTATAAGGATATATATATATATATATATATATATATATATATATATATATATATATATATATATATATATATATATATATATATATATATATACATATATATATATATATATATATATATATATATATATATATATATATATATATATATATATATATATATATATATATATATATATATATATATATATATATATATATATATATATATATATATATATATATATATATATATATATATATATATATATATATATATATATATATATATATATATATATATATATAATTTTGAATTTACTGCAGGGTGTTTTTTCACAAGATGGAGCATATAATACTGAAATGTATACCTCAAAAGCCATTAGTTACATAAGCAATCATAATTGTTCAGAACCGTTGTTTTTATATTTGGCTTTTCAAGCTGTTCATAGTTCCAATTCTGAAGTAGAACCTTTGCAGGCACCTCAAGAATGGATTGACAAGTTTTCATACATAAAACACGAGCAACGACGGAAGTATGCAGCCATGTTAGCATATATGGACTATGGAATTGGAAGGGTAGTTAAAAAATAATTTTAGTTTTTATCTAAAATATTTTTTTAACATGATGATAACATAAATCTTTTTTTTAACATGATGATAACATAAATCTTTAGTACTTTAGTATTAAACTATAATACTTTAGTAAAAAATATTATTGCATCCTAATTATCTTTAATTATTATAAGCATTCAATTTTTATTTATTTAAAAACTGAATAATATTGCATCCTAATTTTCTTTGGTTCAAAAGTTTATTTGAAAAAAAAAAATTATTTATAACAAAAAAATTATTAACGATGTAAAGCAATTATATATTTATGAATAAAGTTTATATAAGAAAACATTTGCAAAGTTTTGAAATGAATAAAGAGGACACCATAAGCATTAGCATAAGCATTTTTTCTCTTTGCAATTAGTTAATATTTAATAAAATAAACTTCTTCAATTTACTTAGGTACACGAAGCGTTAATTGAAAAAAAGATGTTAGATAATTCTGTGATCATTTTTACTACAGATAATGGAGGTCCATCAAATGGTTTTAATAATAATTGGGCAAACAATTTTCCACTAAGAGGTGTAAAGGCTACCCTTTTTGAAGGTACTTTTTTTAACTAATTTAGATATTTTTGTTTAAAGACCATTAGTATTAACAAGTAAACATTTTTATTGGTTTACATGCTTTGGAGGATCACAGGCTATTGCAGCAGTTTGCTTTGTCAATAAAAAACCCTGTGAAAATTAAATTATTATTGTTTATTGGGTCAGATCATGTTTTAAGTACATAAACAAAAAAAGTAAAACACAACTTATCATATTTAAATGAAAAATATGGTTTACAAATAATTACATACTTACATAATAATAATGAAGAGCAAAAAAAATATTTTAAATCAAATTAGTTTTTGTAAGCCTCTAAAATAAAAAATGCTTGTTATTAAATATTTTTTTAAAATGTTTGTTTCAATTTTTTTAGTTTTTTGCTTTAAATTATTTCCTAATAAATTAAAGAAGTTTGTATAAGGATTTTAAGGAGATAAATAAAGTCTTTGTTCCCTACTGAGTTTCTGCAAACATGCTAATGTAAATAACCTATAAAATTTTTTTTTGGAAGTTTGAATAACAAAATCACTGATTGTTTTTCTGATATATTTTCTTGGTCATTAGGAAAAAAAAAAAGTTTTTCTATTATTTACTTCTGATTCACTACCAACAAGGCTGCAAGCAACCACTGTTATGTTGGGAGTTACGAGAAAAAAAGAATTGAGTTATAAATCAAAGAAATGGTTGACAGAAGACTTGAAAAGTTGTAGGTTGTATGAGTCAGGAAAACATGAGTATGGTAGTGAGTTCCAAAGGGCTGAAGTGCGGGGGAAAGATTAGACAAAGTTTTTAAACAAGATTTTGCTGAATGGCGAGTCAAACAACGATGAGTTTTAGTTAATGGAACTAGTGATGATAGCTGCTTTGAGCAGCGACCAAGATAGTATTTAGAGATGTAATTTTATGACTAAGGAAAAGAAAGCTTGGCAGATAGAGCGGGTCCAACTATGTTTACAATGTGTTTCAAACTTAGTAGATGCTAATTTAGCAATTGATTGTATATATGGCTTACATAAGAGGTAATAGGTTTATTCAATAGGTACTTGATTGAGTTTATCTGCCTGCTAGAAAGTAGCCACAGATGCTACTTTCTAGCAGGCAGATAAACTCAATCAAGCACCTATTGAATAGTTTGGAGAGAATTGAAGAGAGCTCAGGAGAACAGTTTTGTTAAAATATTTTCTGGACCACATAAAAGTAGTTTAATTGAGATAAAACTTCAGCAACAGAAGCTGGAGTAATTTGAATGAAAGGAAGAGTATGGCCATAAGATTCATGAGTCGAAAGAGGAAAAGTTCTTTGCAAATAATTCTGCCTTATTTATGGGAGAAGTAATAAGATCAGTCACATAAATGAGAGATGGAATGTTAAATCTACTTTTGTTAATGGCTCTGTTGAAGATTTTTTTAAAAGTCTCTAGAGATACGAAATTTACAAAACTGAGAATAGTGGAGCTTAGCATCAGACAGCACCTTTTTACATTGATTTCTTGCAACAATAAATAGCCCTTTGTTCTTGAGAGTTATTATTTTGAAAAAGATAAAAAAAAATGATTATTGAGCAGCTGCACAAGAAGGTGAAAACCATGGAGTAGAATGAGGCTTGAATCGAGATGAAAGTAACAAACATTCAAGTCACTTATAACAATAATATTGGTAGAGGTGTAAAAATATGGGCATGGTCAAGAAATTTGCTCAGAAATTTATAGAAAGCCACTGTGATATCTTAAGATTGTCTTACTTCAAATAATATTTAATTGCATCGATTAAATAACTTCAAACAGGTAAATTTAATTTGACAGAGGTAAATTATACGTGCTCAATATAATTAAGATCAATTAGTAACTTAAATCAAAACTTTTTATAAAAATTTATTCTTTGACAACCTATAACTTAGGTTTTAAATGAAATAAATGAAAATTTATTTTTGTTTTATATAACTTCTTCTGTTTGTGTTTTAAAAAATTTCTTAAAGTTTTTTTTGTTTAAACAAAATTTAAGACTTATAATCTCCTTTTTAGAACTTCTTTAGGATTTTTCTCAGTTGTTTTACTTAAAAAGTTGTTTATAATAAAATAAAAAACGATCTTAATTTGAACACGATTATAAATTAAAAGAGCTGGGACTTTTACTAAGTGTTTGAGTCTAAAAATTTCAAAAAAAAACTTGTTTTTGGCATTTAAAATTATAATTCTTAATAAGAAATTTACGTCTATAGAAGAAGAGTGCAATCCTGAGAAGAAGAAGAATAATAAAGAGCAAAGAAAAAGAAGATAGAGTAAAGAAGATAGAGTAAGGAGAATAATAAAGAGTAAAGAATATGTGATAGAGTAAAGAGGTACTAAGCTGAAGTACATAAATGAATGGTCAAAGGATTCAAACCTAATTTCTAAACAAATAGATGAATTGATGCTTAGGTATACACCAAAGCCAAATATGTGACAATTAGAATCTTTATTAAAGGATAGTACCCAATAATACTGAAATCTAAAGAAGAAACGATCGAATTTAAATTAGTCTTACAAAGAGCAAGCAACTCTGATGAATTTTGAAATAGGTAAGGTTCTATTAAAGGAAGATTACTTCACAGGTTTTGAATTTTTGTGAAAGATATGTTGATAAAGTTAGGTGGTGGGATGGTTTTTTATGTTTAATATTTTGATTTACTTTGGGCATGATTTAAATTTAAAGAGAGCTTGACTCCTTTTTAGCAATTTTTCCCAAGCAATGAGCTATGCAGTTGTCTTGTTAATTAACCCCAAAAAAAAGTTGTTCTGTTATTAACCCAAAGTCTTAATATTGGGCTCCTTATGTAGCCTCGACAATATACACCAAAACACTAACAGGAACATTATCCATGTGCAACATGGCATTGTTAATACTCTAATATTTTTTATCTGTTGATGGAATCAGCCTCTTTGAGAGCTACCACAAAGTTTGGTAAATCTTACTACCAGCCAGCTTCAGAAACATTTAACTGGGTTTTAGAGTTGTACCAAGAAGATACAGCTTTCATCATCCTAGGTAAGAAACAATGTAAACACAGGTTTGCATCAACGCAAGCCTAACAGATAAAGAAGGGGTTCGAGACTGGTCAACAGAAATATTTTGCTTACCCCTAAAGTCTTTGCCTAGAAAGCCTTCTACAAGACAGTAACTGGATGCAGTTAACATCTGTTTAAGATGAGTATTTTTATCGAGGCACTATCTCTATCCTTTACTCAACCAAAAGCACCAAGGCAGGGGAACATCAGCTGGTTGCAATTAACATTTTTTTTCTTATTTTTTATTTTTTATTTAGGTGCCCCAAGAAGACCTTTTAGTCTTGTCACAGAACATTTTTATCGAGGCACTATCTCTATCCTTTACTCAACCAAAAGCACCAAGGCAGGGAAACTTCAGCTGGTTGCAGTTAACATTTTTTTTTGTTTTTTTGTTATTTAGGTGCCCCAGGAAGGCCTTTTAGTCTTGTCACAGAGCACCACAGAAGTACATTTAACCATTAAGTTCACGCCTCCGTCCTTACCATGACGCAAAAATATGTCCAGAGCTCGTTTTAAACCTAGATCTCCTGCTTATAAAGCAAGTGCTCTAACCACTGCGCCACTGCCGCACAATCATCTGTCCAAGATGAGTATTTATTAATCACAAACATCTGTCCAAGATAAGTATATTTATCAAGACACCATTTCTAGTCTTTACTCAACCAAGAGTTTGTTTCTCCTAGCTTTTTCCTGAAGAAAAAAAAAAGAATCATACAGACAGCAGGGCATGGAACAAGTAGTACTGGGTTACATGATACCAGTAGTTTTTATTGTTGGAATCACTAGTTGGTTACTGAGCTCACACTGCATCAGAAATATAAACAGAACACAAACATACATAAAGTAACTTATGGGTGAATGAACACTTTGTCAGAGGTTCAGATAGAACATACACTTAGAGATTCATAAATATACATTTAGTAAGTAACTGGTGTTATGTGTTTTTAGAAACTTCAAAACAACATATTGACTTTTGACTTCTAACTCAACCCCTCAAACTAGTAAATAAAATGCTAATTAGTAAAATTGTTTTTTTTTGTTTATTCTATTGTTTGTTTATCATATGTTTTTCATTACATATTTAAAAGAATTTTAATGTTATAAGTTTAACAACTAAAATATCATAAATGCATCCTCATGGTCCTCATGCAATTAACAATTAAAAAAGTTGGTTGTTTTACAAAATAACTTATTACAAAAAACAATTCAAGATCTTATAAAAAACTTGCAAAATAGATCATAATTTGCTACTTAAGTGTTAAGCACATAATAATTTTTTTTTTTTAGGTGGAGTTCGTGGAGTTGGCTTTGTTTACAGTAAACTAATTGAAATGTCAAGAGTATCCCATGACCTTATTCATGTAACTGATTGGTTGCCTACATTAGTTAGTTTAGCAGGTGGAAATGTCACTGATATTTCTTTTCTAGATGGATTCGATCAATGGGCTACCTTACAAAACAAACAGTCATCTCAGAGAAATGAGATACTATTAAATATTGATGAACATGTCTGGAAAAACGAAGCATTAAGAGTAGGAAGTTGGAAGCTCATCAAAGAAGGTTTAAAGTTCAATAGTTTAAAATAAATTTTGTTCTTGCATTGTTGGTGTGTCTTTTATGTGTTTTTATCCATTCTTTGTCGAATAAAAAAGATTTGTTTTGTTTAAGGTCATTTCTGGTGAGTGTTATACCTGAGAGTGTTTTACTTTAGATATAAGTTAAAAAGTAAGAACAATGGAGATATAAATTAAAACATTAAAGAGATATAAATTAAAACATTAAAGAGAAACATATCTGAAAGATTTTTACAGCTGAAAGTTATTATTTAATAAAAATTTAAAATTTTTGTTGTAAAACAATTATTTTATATTTGCACCCAAATTTCAAAATAAAGTTGACATTTAATCTTTTGTTAAAATAAAATTGACACTTATTATTATGTCAAAATAAAATTGATACTTAGTCTTACGTTAATATAAAGTTGAAGTTTAGTTTTGTTTCAAAATAAAGTTGATACTCTGTCAAAATAAGATTATTAAATTACTTCTTTCAAAAAAAGATTGACACTTAGTCTTACGTTAAAATAAACTTGACACTTTGTCTTATGTCAAAAATAAGGTTGACACTTAGTCTTATGTCAAAATAAAGTTGACACTTCTGTTAGTTAATTCATAAATTAAAGGTTTTAGGTATTATTAAAATTAAAGAAGTCTGGAATTGATTGTTGTTTTTATATTAAAAGTTTTTGCTTTTTAGTATTATGGTGATATTATATAAAAAATATAATATAGTAATATTATACAATCATAGTATAATATTATATTTAAATAAATTGTCTTTTTATTGATACAACTCTTATCAACTTTACAATATTTTGAAGAAATTTATTTTATTGTCAAATATATAAAAAAAATATTTTTTATATATTTGACAATAAAATAATTGTCAAATATATAAAAATTATTGTCAAGAATATAAAAAAATAAAAACTGTTACAATTTACAGAATAAAACCATTATAAATTATAAAGCTGTCAAAGTTCATAAAAACAAACAACTGTCAAAGTTCATAAAAACAGTTCATTGTAAAAGATTCTTTTTTTTTAGATTTTGAAGAAAAGTTTCTTGTGACAAAAAAAGCAGAGATTCCAAAAATAGACGCCATTACATAATGCTACCATAAAATAACATTGTGAAACATTCTTATTATTTTGTAATACTGATGATTTTCTTGCTTTCCTATTATAACCAAAATAAAAGAAAGTTCACATATATGTGGAGTAATAAACACGCCTTCTTTAATTTTGGCAGCGCTCAGTACCTTTTCAAGTACATCACTTTTGAGGTTCTTGAAAGCCTGACTGTCTCAGTTCTTTGTCTTCATAAGTCTTGCTATTGTAATGTAGAGACTTTTAGAAGGGACACTTTTGTTTTATAGTTGTCAGACTGTGCTCTACTATCACACTTATGTTTGAAAGTAGCAAAATTTGATCTTATTCAGTTGCATTCCCAGTAACATGGCAAGTGCTTTTAGATCCTCACAGACATAGTCATTGAATTCCACCACAGTTAATAAATTCAAGAAGAAGCTGCATGTTAGTCTGGCACAGAAACAACATTTTTTGTAAATGTTGGCTCTCAACTCCTAAATACGTTCTATTTAATAAAATAATACTGGGTTTAAAAATTTTATGAATAAAAATTAATTTTAGGGCCGCTCAAGACCCTGAAACATTAGACAGGTCCCTAATATTATCAAAAAAAGGCTCTTCAAAGTATATTATGTTCGATTTCAAAAGAAGCGAAGTTGTATAAAAAGATGCTCGTCTGATGTTTTAAGGACCCATCAAATGTTTTAGGGACCCATTCTAATGTTTAGGGACCCATCTGAAATTTTAAGGTACCCGTCTGATGTTTTAAGGACCCATCAAATGTTTTAAGGATCCATCTAATGTTTTAGGGACCCATCTGATGTTTTAAGGTACCTGTCTGATGTTTTAAGGACCCATCAAATGTTTTAAGGATCCATCTAATCTTTTAGGGACCCATCTGATGTTTTAGGGACTGAAGCAATCCTTAAAAATACTTTTTAATAAAAAAAATTTAAAAGGTTTTTTAAATTAAATTTTCCAAATAATAAATTATATAGAACCCATTTAGGGTGTTAAGAGCCAATATTTACATAAGATGTCATTTTTTGTTCCACCCTACTGCATGTTGATAAAATGCTACGTCATGTTAACAGCATATTCACCAGAAATAGATGTTAGTTTATTTACATTATGTAATAATTTAAATCATAATTATCATTTTATAATTGTCTGGTTTCATCACCATTTTGGCTGTTGGACAATTTGTTTACCATAATCACCATTTTTCATTCTTACTGTTTTTTCCACATCATCCACTCTGTCATTGTATTCATAACTCATAATGCTCTTATTATTATTCTTATCTCTTCACCATAGTTATCTGTTAAATTGGTCCATCTGATTTTAAATGCATGGTGTTTTGGATTTATCAGCTATTCTATAGTAAAATATTGTTGAGAAATTAGTTTGAAATTTACTTAAAATTAGTTTTACTAATTTTAAATATATTTCAAACAAATGTCTTTGTGATGAAAACCAAGTTCAATGTGATGAAATATTTTTTATTACATTGAACTTGGTTTAACTTCTCAAAAAAAGTAAAATACAAATATTTCTAAACATCACACAGTTTTTTTTTGCTCATGCTAAAGTGTTTTCAAAAGTTTTTAAAATTTTATAAGTTTCATAAAATTGATAAATTAAAAAAACTTTAAAAGTTTTAATTTTTAAAATTTAATTTAGTTATTAAAAATTAGCAAATTTTTTTTTTTTTGTGGTACTTTTCAAAATTTGGTTTTTGGTATACATAGTGTTAAATTCAGTAGCTTGTTTGAAAAAAAATTATTTCTTAAAAATTTCTTTGCTTTTTATTGGTTAAACTATTGAAATATTGATGATTGGTTGAATTTTATAAAAATTTATTTTTCTTTACTTCAGGTCTTAAAAATTGGGATGGTTGGTACCCTCCTCCTTCTTATAATGAAAGTATGGATGAATCTTTAAATTCTAGCATTTTAAAATGTGGCCATGATTTCCCTGTTGTTATTAATCACTGTGACGATTATTGTTTATTTCATGTCGTTGAAGATCCATGTGAGATTGTTGATCTTTCGAAAAAGTTTCCAGATGTTTTAGCAACAATGATGTATAGACTTAATATATATAAACAGTCAATGGTTCCACCTAGAAACAATATGACGATTGATTCAAGATCAGATCCAAAGTTACATAATGGAGTATGGCAACCATGGGAAATCAGCAGTAATATTGGTTGTTCTAAGATTTAAAAAAAAATTATACAATGGATAAAATATTCATTTAGTACCTGTTTACCACATATTTTTTACTAAATTTTTAACTTTTTTACAAGATTTTTATTGTAAATATATTTATTAAATTAGAATACAAACTATTTTAAACCTTGAAAGTAAGTTTATTTAATAGTAACAACTAGTTATTAGTCCATTAAATATATATATATATATATATATATATATATATATATATATATATATATATATATATATATATATATATATATGTAAACATACAGTTAAATCTTAATATTAAATCTAGACTTGAAATAAGATGTAATTATTTTCTAAAACTACATATAGTACTTTTTTATGCATTCGCAAATACTTAGGCAAGCGCATAAAAAATCAACAAAAGAAATGTGTTTTATTTTAAATTACCGCAAAACTTTTTTGTTAATTTGTTCAACTTTTATGAGAAAAGGCGCTGTTTTTACCAGGTTTTTGTTTATTATTATAAGTAGCATTTATTCAAATTTCATTATTTTCGCTATTTTTATTTTAATTTAACCTTTAATTTAAGTAGCAGAAAAAAAAATTTATTTTTTAATCGCACAGGCTAACTTAAAATTGACCATCCTCCCAGCGCTTTTTTGTGCACTGGCATTAAATTTCAAACTGAGAAAATTGTATATAGTACTAATGTATTTATTTCTCTATAACTCATACTGATGTTTGCTTTATAAAGAAATTTCCATTTTTTTGTTTTTGTTTTTAAGATTTGTGATAAATTAAATGTGTTGTCTCATTCTTAAATTTTTTTTTTTGGTTAAAAAATTATAACATTATTTATGATGATTACTATGCTTTATACTAAATTATGTTATAAATTTTTACTTATATCATTTTAACAACTTGTACTTAGTTTTTTTACTTATATCATTTTAACAACTCGTACTTAGTTTTTTTACTTATATCATTTTAACAACTCGTACTTAGTTTTTTTACTTATATCATTTTAACAACTCGTACTTGTTTTTTTACTTATATCATTTTAACAACTCGTACTTAGTTTTTTGACCAGCAGTGTAAAGGAGGTAGCAACATTTTCAGAACTATTTCTTTAAGATATGACAATCATTTAGGTAATTTATCAGAATGCTGCTTATTTTTATTATGATAATTCTTTTAGAATATATAACTAATTAATGCAATGAACTTTTGAACTCTTTTTTTAATGACTTTTCTTGTATTTAAATCAAATAGTGTCATTTTTAAGTTTTTTTGTAAAAGTAATAAAACAAAAAACTGCACAAATCTTACAACACTTTTCATATGCAATAAGTCTCTAAATCTTACAAAAAAATTAAAATATCACACACAAGTTTGACAGTATGTAGTTTATATGTGACATAATTTTACACAAACATTTTACATATGTATATACATGTGTAAAATTTTTGCTATTTCCATTATTTGTTCACATTTAGTTAAAAGATTTTGAATATTAAATTGATTTTTTTTTAAAGAATGGTATATAAAAATGTTATGTTTGGAACATTCGTCTTAACAAGTTTTATAATGATAGTGATCCATGCTGATAAACCACATATAATAATGATTGTTGCTGATGATTTAGTATAAATATATATATTTATTTTTAATTTTTTTAAAATATTTTTTCTTGCTCTAGTTTTTGGTGTAGTCTATTACAATTTACTTGAAGTAAATATTTTATTTTATATAGGCTGACATTATTTTTACAAGCTATATTTAATAATGAAATTTTTTGAAATATTTTATTAGGGATGGAATGACATTAGTTTTCATGGCTCTAATGAAATACCTACACCAAACATAGATAGGCTTGCGAATAATGGTGTTATTCTTGACAACTACTATGTTCTACCAATTTGTACACCCAGTAGAAGTGCAATTATGACAGGCAGATATCCAATACATACAGGTATCATAAAAAATGCTACAAATAATTGTTTTGGTTTATAAATTTGTTATTCTTATTTTTATTGCATTTTGGGTTTAATACTTTATTTCTTTTGTTCATGTCTTGAAGGTTTTTGTCAGGTAAGGTTTATGTTACCTTTTCATAATCAAACATAAATAATTTTTATGAAGCAACTGTTTCATAAAAAATTATTTTTTTATTTATTTATGTTTGATTATGAAAACAGAGAAGAAATTGTGTTTTGATAGGACTACACAGATTATAACTATATTTAGAATTATATCAACATGAAGTTAGCTGATAGAGGGTTCCGTTTCTTTTATTTTTTAGTAGAAAACTTTCTTCTTTTACTACAGTGAAAAACTCTGTATTTAAAATTTTACTTTAATAGTCAAATGGTAAAGAATACATTAATAAGGAGATATAGTACATCTTAAAAAAAATAACAGATTTTTTATTTTTATTTTACATTTTTATTCTACGTTAACCTTTATTATTAGTATTGTTTTTACTTATTAGTAGTTCTATTTGTTTAAAATGACATTTTTGTTGATCTAGAATTACTATCATGTTGACTATCTGGTTTTTTAATCATTTATAGTTGCAATAAAAAGAATTTTATTCAATACTTTACTATTTAAAGGTAATATTGTGCCATGTATTGCGCTATGACCAATAAAATTATAATAATTATAAATATAAATATATAAAATATAATAAATAAAAACAAAAGTTATAAAAGTATGAACTATGTACTTGCTTGATTGGGGAGGAATTAGCTTAAACTTCAAAACTAATTTCTGCTTAACTTTTGTTTTGAAAAAAAAAATTTGTTCCATGAAAAAAATCCAGAAAAAAAAAAAAATGCCAATATTTGAAAATTCGTTAATTTCGAAATCAGTCAACTCTAAAATGTTAAATTTTTTTTAAGCTTTTTTATATACTATAAAAGTTGCAAGCGGATGATGATTACAGTTAATAATAAAAAAAATATAAAGTCCAAATATTAATTCTACTTAACTGCTTACTTTATTATAACTTTGTTCTAAACTTTATCATGAACTAACAAGTTCATCATGAACAAACATAAACATAAAGTTATGTGAAGCTTTTGTTTTTTAATTTTAAACATCTTTTTTTGAGATAAATCTTTTAAATGCATTTTCAAAATCTATGAAAAAAATATCCACAATAAATTTTTTACAATAAAAAGTTTTTGCAGCAAAAATTATTTAATAACTTTAAAATCATTACATGTTATGTTTCTTGTTTTCGCATATTATGCATATCGAAGTCTTTATATATCTTAATATTTTATAGTTTCTATTATCTTTTGTATTATCTTTTCATTGTTATTTTTGTAATTAGCTCTTTATTTTTTATTAATTACAATTTAGTGTAATTATAACACAGCAAGGAGTCAATTTAATTGATTTTTAGTTTTCATTTATCTATAACTTTATAGATTTTTATTGGTTTATAGGTTAAATTGTCTTATAGGTTTTTATTGTATCTATATATATATATATATATATATATATATATATATATATATATATATATATATATATATATATATATATATATATATATATATATATATATATATATATATATATATATATGTTATTTATATGAATTTTTTTATTGCTTGTTTTTTGTCTTAACTAGTTTTTTTATGACCTCTTACTGTTAAACTTAGTATATATGAGTTTCCTTAATTTTCTACACTTCTATTAAATGTAGTATATCTGGTTTTTCTTGATTATTTACTGGGAAAAGAAAACTTTAGAACATTGATAGAGGAAAACCTTTCTCACTGTTTCTCCTTTGTTTTTGATGTTAGCTTTATTATTTTCCACATAATATGATGTCACAAAAACACTAATATATATATCTACTATAGCATATTTATATGCGCAATTGCTCACTTTTTTTGCTAGTCTAAATTAAGTGAGCGTTTTGAGAAAACGATGAGGGAAAACGAAGAATAATGAATGAAAAGGTTGCTGACCCATACCAAACCCTCAGTCGATGTAGCAGCATTCCACTGCGAGTCTGGCTATTTGTCAGTCGATGTATGTACTGAAGCCCCCGCAGCAGGCTATTTCAGTATGATGTCATCATGCTCACCTAACTCAGCAGTATAAGATATAAATAACATAATATAAGAAAATTATTTTATAAATAACATGTATATATTATTTTATATATAACATATATATAATTATTTTATAAATAACATATATATATATATATATATATATATATATATATATATATATATATATATATATATATATATATATATATGTATATATATATATATATATATATATATATATATATATATATATATATATATATATATATATATATATATATATAACATAAATATATTTTACTGAGAGATTTCAATGGCATAAAAGTATAAAACTAACAGGATCTTAATTTAAAGTTAGTTTACATGAATGAGGTTAGTTTACATAAAGTTTGATTATGTAAAAAATTGTAATTTTTCTTAAACAGAAAAAACAAAACAAAATAGGATTCCAAATTTCTTGTCATTCCATTACATTATAATGTAACCCTTTTCTTTTTTACAACTTTTTGTGAATACAACTAGGATTCTACCTTTAATAGGATCACAAAGCAAATTTGCTGTCTGATTTTTTTTTTTACAAAATTTAAAATCATTTTTTTTAATTAGGGATGCAACAAGATACAATATTTGGTCCTAATCCATATGGAGTTGGTTTAAATGAAAAATTTTTACCACAGTATTTAAAACAGCAAGGCTACAAAACACATGGTGTAGGAAAGGTATTTAAAAGTTTATTTCAAGGTGTTTAATGGTGGTTTCTACTTTTTTGTCTAAATAAATTTTTTTAATTAGATTTGATAAGAATTTAACATTAATATATTTCTCAGGCTCTTATGTTTCTTTTACTTTCAATTCTAATTTTGGTTTTTTGAATTTCATGTTTATTTTTTATTTTGTAGTGGCATCTAGGATTTTTTGCTAAGCAATACACACCAACGTATCGTGGTTTTGACTCGTATTATGGTTCTTATTTGGGTAAAGGAGACTACTGGAATCACTCAAATACAGAGACATACTCTGGTTTAGATCTTCATGACAATGAAAACGTAAAAATCATAAAATTTCTTTTTCAACATTATTTATAAAAGTTTATTTAAAATAAAGTTTGTTTTGAAATCATTTTTCAAAAATTTCAAAGAACTACTTTTTTTTTGCTATAATATATTTCAATAAATAAAGTTAAATATATAAATTCAAAACTTATTAAAATATATTATTGTCATTAATTTCTCCCAGGGTGTTTTTTCACAAGATGGAAACTACAGTACTGAAATGTATACTGCAGAAGCTATTAGTTGCATCAATAATCATAATAGTTCTGAACCTTTGTTCTTATATTTGGCTTATCAAGCTGTTCACAGTGCTAACACAGAAGAGGATCCTTTGCAGGCTCCTCAAGAATGGATTGATAAATTTTCTTACATAAAACATGAGCAACGACGAAAATATGCTGCTATGTTAGGGTATATGGATTATGGTGTTGGAAGGGTAGTTTAACTATTTTAAATTTTTAATATCTTTTTTACTCTAAATCGTTGCTGATCTATATACATTAAATTATTTAATCGACTGTTTTTTAACATATGTTAGTCACAAGTTAAATTTTATATTTTAAGTTATTTATTACATTTTAATATATATGCATACTAAAACATAGCAAGTTTTATAGCTGTATTGATAATTTATCTACTTTGATTATTTTACATTTTCTTATAAAGTAAATTTGTATATGCACAAAGTCATTTTTGTTTGAAGTTATTTGGAAAATGTTGCAACTTTGCTAAATGATGAGTCACTCAAGATTGAATTTCGGTTGATGAAGTAAAAGATTATACTTGAGCTGCAACCATAGTAGCACTTTTAAAAAAGAGATAGAAATGTAACTTTGGGACAATTGGATAGTGGTTCAAGCTAGCACAAAAACCAAGAAGGGAAAGAGCATCTTTATAAGAACCAGCCCAAATATTGAAACAGTATTTCTTACAGGGATGAATATGTGATTTGTAGAGGTAGAGGATGGAATAAGTAGTAAGAAAATAATAAGCATGATAAAGAGAGATGACTAGATGCTAACTTTACAATTAATTGTATATATGGTGTCATAAGAGGTCAGTAATGGATAATCCAAGAAGACGTAAAATAGAGGAATCAGTAACAATGTTGCAATTTATAAATATAGGAATATACCAACAATCTAAGATGTGATACCTGAGTTATATTCTGTGCACCAAGAGCTTCTTTCCCATTAACTTCACAGAAACAAGCCAACAAGAACATTTATAAAAATGTTGATTTGTGAACTGCAGGAAAGATATCATCATAATGGTGCTGAACAGCTGATTAATTGTTTTGCAAGTTTTTTAGACCCACGATACAAAGGCTTGCATTTGATTGAATATAAAATATGTGATGAAATAAAAGAAGCAATATTGACTCAAAAAAAAGAGAAAAATTATGAAAAAGCTTCAACGAGTAGCAGCAAAACAGACAATGAAAGTGATAAAAATGTTGAAGTTAATCACCACGAACTGCTTAGAAAAAGGCTGAAACAAAATATTTTAGCGCGCAGTGCTTCAACAATGACTAAATTAGGTTTAGAAATTGATCATTATTTAGCAGCCAAAACAGCTGAAGAAACAACAAATATTTTAGAGTGGTGGAAAATTAGGAAGTTGCAGTACCCAAATTTATCAAATTATGCACGAAAATATCGAAACTGAACCGAACCAATCAAAAAAAAGTTCAAACCAAACCGAAAAAAAACAAAATGTTAATTTTGTATTTAAAATCGAATCGAAAAAAATCAAACCAAAAAAAACCTTAACCATGTGGCCTTATTGGGCTAGAGCCGATGTTAAACCATGGACCTCTTGGTTCAAGGCCAAAACTCTAGTCACTGCACCATGGCTGCTTTTAAATAAATGTATGTGCACTCCACTATAGCTATTTTAATCAGTTAAATAATGTCGACTCTTCTACATCTACAGCTATATCAGTTAATGATATAGCCGTAGTGGCTATATTATTTCTACAACAATATCATTGATAAAAGATTAAGTAAAAACAATACAATTTTTTAAATTGTTTAATTAAAATTAATAATGTTATAATTATTAAACAGCAATAATAGTTTTTTTTTAACACTTCTAACAAAGCTGCAAGCAACCACTATTAGAGTTGGAAGTTACTTGAGAAGAAAAAATGAAATTTATAGAGCAAGATAACAAGTAATAGGCGACTTTAAAGATTGGTAATTATATGAATCAGGAAAATAAAAGAAAGGAAATGAATTCCAAAGAACTGATGTTTGAGGAAAAAAACTAGACGAATAAGAATTTAGAGCATTAGAGCACTTAGGAACAGTCACAGTAAAAGGATGAAACTTAATTGAATGATGAGTAACATGAGAATGAATTTTAGTAGATGGCACAAGAGGCGCTAGCTCTTTAGAGCGCTCATTATAGTATTTATAGAAAAGAGAATTACAACATAAAAATAAAAAGCAAAATTACAACAATGTGATAATGGTTAGAGGTTGGTTGCAAGGGCAGATCCAACTATGTTTACAAATCGTTTTTGTACCTTGTCCAAAAGGCATCATTAAAAAGAAAAGACATCATTGAAAAGAAAGGGCATCATTGGAAGATCCACCCTAGATATGACAACAGTATTCCGTACAAGGGCAGATTTAAGATTTATAGAGATAAACAATAGAATCCTAAGTACAAAATTTACAAGCAGGATAAAGAGATGCAAACTTAGCAGATGCCGATTTTGTAATTGATTTGATATATGGTTTCCACTAAAGATTGGAAGTTAGAGTTAATTCTATAAGATAAAGGGTAGATGACTCATTAAGTGCATTACTGTTCATAAATATAGGAAGATCTAGGTTATTGTGATAAAGATTAGCTAAAAATGATTCAGTTAATCATTATCGATTAAGTTAAAGTCCACCAGCCACTGAGAGTCCCATGCTGTAGCAGAAGTAATATGTTTCAAAATAGTTAATACATATAAAACAGCTTCGAAATAAAAATAAAATATCACAAGATAAAAATATCCTGCACTGAGATTTAATCTCAGTGCAGAATATTTTTTAACTCAGTACTCAAGCAACTAGTCCACCCTAACTTAATGACTATTGGATTAAAAAAGTTATATATTTATCATAAATGTAATATCTCTTTAGGCTATTGGTCCATTTAGTCATTGTAGCTTTATACAATTTTATATGGAACTATAGAAGCGCAAAAAATTGTATTAAGTTTTAATAATTAAAATTTAATTCATTATATAATTAAAAACAAATCATAAAATTTAGTAATCGTAGCATCTAATTGAGAACATGCCTAATTTAAGATCTTAGGTTGTTATAAAAGGTCTAAAACCTATCATTAGGTTGTTATAAAAGGTCGCTAAACCTATCATTCACCAATATTCGTAGTCTTCGAAGTAACTTTTCTTCTGTTGAGTCTTATCTCTTGCAAAGTTCACCAGACCTGCTTGCTCTTTGTGAGACTAATTTGAGTTTAGCTGTCTCGTCTTGTGATCTTAGTCTTGATGGTTATCTTCCTTTAATTCGTAAAGACTCCAATAGTCACATGCTTGGCCTGGGCATTTACATTTGTAAGAATTCATCCATTTGTCGGGAAACTAGATTTGAATCCACAGACTGCTCTTTTATGTGCTTTCGTTTAGCACCACTTCACTCTATCACCTTTCTCTTTGTTCTATATCGCTCTCCCTCATCCCAAGACTGCACTCTTCTTGATGTTATTTCTGATTATATTGACCAAGCCCTCATTCTTTATCCATCAGCCAATATTGTTGTTGTCGGTGACTTTAATGTACATCACACTGAATGGCTTGGCTCTAGTGTCAGTTACTCTGCAGGCATTAAGGCCCACAACTTTTGTCTTTCTCAATCCCTAACTCAAATAGTCAACTTTCCAACTCGCTTTCCAGACAACCCGAATCATTTACCTTCTCTACTCGACTTATGTCTTGTTTCTGATCCTAGTCAGTGTTCAGTTTCTTCACACTCACCCTTAGGTGCGTCTGATCATGGTTTGGTCTCTCTAAAACTATTATCTCATTCTTCTTTACCATTAGAATCCCCCTATCATTGTACATCTTACAACTACCTTAAAGCTGACTGGGACTCTTTTCGTTACTTTCTTCATGATGGCCCCTGGGTAGAAATCTTTCGTCTCCCTGTTGACAAATGTGCTTCTTATATAACTTCGTGGATTCAGGCTGGCATGGAATCCTTTATTCCCTCTCGACGAATCTAGGTCAAGCCTCACTCTTCTCCATGGTTTTCCTCACATTATGCTGCTGCAATTGCCAATCGAAACCATTACTTCCATATCTACCAGCAAAACGATTCTCCAGAAAACAGACGTCTCTTTATTACTGCTAAGAACCATTGTAAAAAGGTTTTGTCTAACGCCAAAACCCGCTATTCTCAGATCATGAAATCTTGTATTTCATCACAAAAATTAGGCTCTCGTGACTTCTGGAGAATCTTTAATAGTATCAATAATAAGGGCAAGTCTGTAATTCCACCTCTTTTGTACGGTTCAGACTTTGTCACCTCACCTAAAGACAAAGCTGAATTGTTTGCCAAGAACTTTTCATCAATATCATCGCTTGATGCCACTAGTTTCATTTTACCTGATATACCCGTCAAACAGGTTGATCCATTGCTCGACATTCGTATCACTCCAGCTTCTGTATCTAAAGTGATTTCCCGCTTAGACTCTTCTACAGCTTGCGGCCCGGACAACATACCTGTTATAGTCTTGCAGAAGTGTTCTCCTGAGCTGTCGTCTATCTTTTCAAAACTATTCAACAAGTGCTTATTAGAGTCTTGTTTTCCAGCCTGTTGGAAAGCAGCATCTGTTATCCCTATTTTTTAAAAATTCTGGAGAGCAATCTGATTCGTCTAACTACCGTCCCATTAGTCTCCTTCCTATCATAAGCAAGGTTTTTGAATCTTTAATTAACAAACACTTAATCTCGAATCTCATAACCTACTTTCTGATCATCAGTATGGATTTCGATCTTCTCGTTCTACGGCTGATTTGCTATTAGTAATAACCGATAGGTTTTATTGCGCATTAGATAAAGGTAGAGAGGTTAAGGCCATTGCTCTTGACATTTCTAAAGCGTTTGATAAAGTTTGGCATGCTGGTCTCCTCCATAAGCTTTATTCTTATGGTGTATCTGGAAACATCTTTAAGATTATTGAATCCTTCCTTTCCAATCGTAGTATAAAAGTTGTCCTCGATGGACAGCACTCTTCTTCTTATTCTGTAACCTCAGGGGTTCCCCAAGGTTCAATCCTTGGCCCTATACTCTTTTTAATTTACATTAATGATCTTCCAGATATTCTCACATCTAAGGTGGCATTGTTCGCTGACGATACTACCATTTATTCTTGTCACGATAAGAAGCCAACTCCCTCTGATGCGTGCGGGGGGCATCTGAGCTCGAAAAGGATCTCACATTTGCTACAGCATGGGGCTCGCAGTGGCTGGTGAACTTTAATTCAGATAAAACTCATTTTTTTCGGCCAATTGTTATCGCAATAATTTAGACCTTCCTATATTTATGAACGGTAATGTACTCGATGAGTCTCCTACCCTTCATCTTCTAGGTTTAACTCTTACTTCTGATCTTTCTTGGAAACCTTATATCAAATCCGTTGCAAAATTAGCATCTGCTAAAGTTGCTTCTCTTTATCGAGTTCGTCACTTTCTTACTCTGGATTCTATTCTCTATTTCTATAAATCTCAAGTCCGGCCTTGTATGGAATACTGTTGCCATATCTGGGGCGGATCTTCTAATGATGCCCTTTCTCTTTTAGACAAGTGCAAAAATGCATTGTAAACATAGTTAAACCTGCTCTTGCATCCAACCTTCAACCTCTGTCACATCGTCGTAATGTTGCTTCTCTTTCTCTTTTCTACAAATACAATAATGGGCACTGCTCTAAAGAGCTAGCGTCTCTTGTGCCATCTACTAAAATTCATTCTCGTGTTACTCGTCATTCAATTAAGTCTCATCCTTTTTCTGTTACTGTTCCTAAGTGCTCCAAAAACTCTTATTTGTCTAGTTTTTTTCCTCAAACATCATTTCTTTGGAATTCGCTTCCTTTATCTTGCTTTCCTGATTCATATAATTTGCAATATTTTAAGTCGTCTGTCAATCGTTATCTTGCTCTACAATCTTCTTCTTTTCTTTTCCAGTAACTTCCAACACTAATTAGTGGTTGCTTGCAACCTTGTTGGAAGCAAAGATAATTAAAAAAAAAAAAAAAAAAAAAAAAGAGGTTAAAAAAGGACAAGCTTATGTTATATGCCAATAGAATATGACCCGAAAATCTGTTATTAAGTTAAACTCGTGTCAGCATTTATTTCACTAAATTTATTTACATCTATCTCTGCATCAACCAGATTCAACTTTTCCAATTTGTTGGCATGAAATCGTACAACCAAACAATTAGTTGGCACAAGTTAAAAGAATTACTTTTTATCTTCATTAACAGAAGTTGTTGAATGTAACAGAAGTTGTTAAGTAACAGAAGTTAAGTAACAGAAGAATGTGCTGAGCAAAATGACAATTGGGTGACTCTCACACAAACTGTAGGTGTCAAATATAAGACAGTATGCAATTGAATTTTTAATGGAAAATAAAAGTACATTGGAAAAAGTGGTCTTAACCTAAAATATTGTCTGAAAATGTCAATTGATATTGACGGCCACTCGCTAATTACCTTGAAGGCAGAAATTTTCGTTAAAACAAGTTTTATCCTTTTTTGTAGAAAAACACAAGGACACACTAGATAAGGAATAGCAATAATGAAAAAACCTGCTTTAAAAGGTTTAAACATACATTTAATTGCAGCTATATCAACAACAAATGCTGTTGTGATAGAAAATCACAGAGGATTATTTAAAGCAGATTCTTGTATTAAGTGTTGGCTATATTTTATTAGTGGATTACATTCGGGAATCACCTAGAGGATTCTGTTGTTGTAACAGACAATGGTCTTATTGAAAGAGTGTTTGAAAGTTGACCTAATTAATAAAAATAAAGTTGTTTATTAATTATCGCTAGTTGATATTCATATATTAATGTATGGTAACACTTTTACTTCTCTAATTTACTTATTTTTGGATCACCTTTTTTACTACAGACCTTTCATGGAAACCATATAGTCATACAGACCTTTTATGGAAACCATATAGTCATGGAAACCATCCATTTTAAAGTTAATATCTTTTATGCTCACCACTTTCTTCTAATTTATTCTCTATTTCTATAAATCTCTCATTCAATTTTGCATGGGCTATTGTTGTCATTTTTTAATTCTTTTAATGATATTTTTTTCTATTTAGACAAGGTCCAGAAAGGACCTTGTCTAAAATGAGTTAAAATTCATAAATGTAGTATTATAAATGTAGTTGAACCTGCTCTAGCTTCTAAGTATGAGTGGCTTTTTTGTTTAATATTTTATAAAGTTAAAAAAAAATAATATTTACAATTTATGTTAAAGTAATACTACAAACATTTTGAAAACATTTAATTGAACATGATTGTAGATTTTCTTAGAATAATGTAGACATTACAGTTCCCTAGTTTATCTTATTCAAGATTTTATTCAAGTTAATTTCAAACTCAAACTTTTCAGTTAATTTTAAAAATAATTTTTTATGACTGTAATGAGATTTGGTTTAAATAGCTGTTAAAAATTGAGCAATATTTTGTTGATAGTTATGTTGAAAGTCATGTTGATTTTTAGTTTCACCGTTCACCCGGAACTTTTTTTTTATAAATTTAACTTTAACTCTTTAAGTCATTTTTTTCTCGAACTTGTTTTAAAATTTTTTTGTTTTACTTTTGTTCCACTGAAAACAAGTTGAGTGTGGTACTACCAGGGGTTGGTGGGAATTGAGCTAGAAACTTCTTGCTTATGAAGTGAGCCATTTACCGCTACACAAGCATAGAAATTCAATAGAATACTTCAAGTTATGTATTGTATGTTGTATAATTTGAAATTATTATTTTTATTTGCATAGGTACATGATGCGTTAGCTAAAAAGAAGATGTTAGATAACTCTATCATCATTTTCACCACAGATAATGGTGGTCCTGCAAATGGTTTCGACTATAATTGGGCAAACAATTTTCCTCTTAGAGGTGTAAAAGCAACTCTTTTTGAAGGTATTTATAAAAATATTTTTAACTGTTTAAAAATTTACACACTTTGATAAATAACTATTAGAAAGTTAAAATTTTTTTTTTAATTCAATTTAAAATTATTTTTCACTTATTTTTATGATGTTTAAGGTAATAAGATATACTAGGCTAGAAACAAGATTATCCATTATTAGCTACGGTGAATAAAAAATTATCTAGGAGAAGAAAAACTCTAATGTTTGCTATCCTCCAATTTATTTGTTGGTAAGGGTAGGAGGAGCTGATAATTTTTAGATGGTAAGGTTAGGAAGAGCTGATAATTTTTAGATGGTAAGGGTAAGAGGAGCTGATAATTTTTGGATGTTAAAGGCAGGAGGAACTGATAATTTTTGGATAATTCTCCTTGTAGTACTGTTAAAATAAAATTCCAAACCAAATACAAAAGTGGCTTTATAGAAATTCTTTTCTAACCACAAGGAACCATTGCTGCTAGACTTAACAAATATTTAATAATTTTGTTATTTATTTTTTTAATTTGCATTCACTCCCAACAAGTCTGCAAGCAACCACTATTAAGTTGGGAGTTACTAGGAAAAAAAAGAAGTTATAGAGCAAGGAAACAGTTGACAGAAGACTTGAAAAGTTGAAGGTTGTATGAGTCAGGAAAACATGAAGATGGGAGAGAGTTCCAAAGGATTGAAGTGCGGGGAAAAAAACTAGATGAATAAAAGTTTTTAGAGCATGCAGAGACAGATACAGTAAACAAATGAGACTTAGCTGAATGACAAGTAAAACGAGAATGAATTTTAGTTGATGGAACTAGAGATGATAACTCCTTTGAGCAGTGTCCATGATAGTATTTGTAGATAAGGGAAAGAGATGCAACTTTACGACGATGGGAAAGAGGTTCAAGCTTAGCAGATAGTCCAGGTCCAACAACATTTACAATGCGTTTTTGGACCTTGTCAAGAAGTGAAAGTGAATCGTTAGAAGAACCAGCCCAAATATGACAACAGTATTCCATACAGGGACAGATTTGTAGAGGTAGAGAATGGAATCAGAAGTAAGGAAATGGGGAGCACAATAAAGAGAAGCAACCTTAGCAGAAGCTAATTTAGCAATCGATTGTATATATGATTTAGTTCTTGATGATAATAATTTCTCATAATATTTATTATTTGAAAACATTTTTTTTTTCATCTTTTGCACTCTGCTAACTTTTAAGCTCAGTTACAACCTAGGTTTTTAAATTCCACTTATTTTTTCATGTGACACCCAAATCTATCAGCAACCAACTTTTTTTTATAGCTCTTAAGTTATCAATCAACACTCATTTTTTTGTGACACCCTTTTTTTATGTGGTGGCCATATAATTATGTAAAACTGTTTTGTAAAATGTTTAAAATATAATAAAAACATAATTTTTTTTAATTCCATTTATTTAATCATAAAATTAAAAAAGTTACAAGTTATACATAAAACATAATTATACAAAATTGTATCCATCACTCATAGTTAAAAGCTAGTCATTTGACTAACACCTTAATAAAATGAACAATTAGAACAAAAAACAACTAAACAACAAAAAGTAGTCATATAAAAAATAAACTAAAAAAAATCAATAAAAACAAAAACAATAATGTTAAAAAAAAGAAGAAGACAAATAACACATGAAAAGGAAAGAGTGGGTGAGGTAAAGAGAGAGATCATGAATGTGATAACACAACGTTTAATGATCAGAAGATTTTATTCAAAAAATAAGAAAACTAAAGAATATATTTAAAAATTATAACGAGACAAATAATATGAAATCACTTGAATAGTAGCAACTAATATAAATAAACAAAAACAATAAATGTAATTTGTAAGAACACCACAAAAAAAAAAAATACACAACAAATAAAAATAATAGTGTAAACAATGCAAACAACATAATAAAACTAATAAAATAAAATAAAACTAATAAAACTAATAAAACAATGCAAACAACATAATAAAACTTAAGTTATTATTTTTATTTTCTTTCAACAACTTTTTAAAGTTTTTATTTTTGAATTTTTTACAATTTTTCTTTTAATTTTGCTTTTACTCGGCGTAGTTAAGGCAATTTTAAAATATTATAGTGTCTGTATGATATTTTGTTGACTACGGCATGTTTCTGTTAAATGATCAGGTCTGTGAATTATGAAAAGACGAAAAATATTAAATTGATAAATTTTGTGGTATCATAAAATAAGAATTCTAATATTTTTTGTGAAAATTGATAGAAATATTATATTTTGACAACTATATATAAATAATATACGTCAGCGCTGATTAGAACTAGGATCTATAGTGGGTTAAGGCATTTTTTGAAAAGATTTTAAATAAATTCATGTTAATCCCAATGAGCAAAAGTGATCTACAAAATTGTGTTTTTTAGATTCACTATTACAGGTAGTAAAAAAGTTTTGAAAATTATATGAAAAAAAGAAACTTTCTTTAAATAACAAAAAAAACCTGAAGCAAAAAAAAAATTATAACATCTAATGCTCTTGTTTGGACATAATACGCTGATAAAATCATGCTATTTTGATATCGCTATATTATATATTATCGCTGATAAAATCACGCTAATTTCAAATAAAAGCATTCAAATGATTTGTAAATCGCCTTAACTACACCAAGTTGTTGTTCTGTTATTTACACTAAGTAGTTGTTCTGTTTTTTTAAATATTTTTCTTCAATTTTTAATCTTTAAATTTTTTATTGATTTCACTTTGTTTTTTGAAATTATCTTTTAAGTAATTTGCATTTTTTTTTCTTTTTTTTATTAATCTATTTTTCTCGTTTTTGTTATTAAAAAAAATACTTTCTTCATTTTTGATGCTTATGCAAAGTGATGAATTTTAAACATAAATAATTAATAAAAGCTTCTGTATAATATCAATTAATATCAATTTTAAATTCAAAAAGTTGTTTGAATAAAATTTGTTTCTAAAAGAAAATTTAGTATTGCTATATATATATTTTTTCTTAGGTGGAGTTCGTGGTGTTAGCTTTGTTTACAGTAAACTTATTGAGAGTCCTAGAGTTTCACATGAACTAATCCATATTACTGATTGGTTACCTACATTAGTTAACTTAGCAGGTGGAAAGGTATCTGATGGTTTTTTAGATGGATTTGATCAGTGGGCAACTTTGCAAAATAAACAGTCTTCACAGAGGAATGAGGTATTATTAAACATTGATGAAAAAGTCTGGAAGAATGAAGCATTACGAGTTGGAAGCTGGAAGATTATTAAAGAAGGTTTTTTATTAAGTTGTTTTTACTACAGTTTTTAATGTGTTGTTAATGAGTTATTTCATTCCAACTATTTATTTTTTTCTTTTTGTATATTTGTTATATACTTTCATATTCTCTTTTTCAGTTCTCATTTATTGTTACAAATCTTCATTGTTATTAGTCATTTTTGTTTATACAACAATTCAAAATCTAATTTTAAATTTTTAAATAGTATTTATAACTTATACAATTGTTTAAATGTTTTAGATTTTTCACTGCTTAATTCGGTCTAAAATTTTGATTACATGAAGCTAAATGACAAATATTTTATATAATTGACCCTGTGCTTGTTTTTATAAGTTGAGTAAGTTCCAATTATATAAGGAGCCGATATATTATTTGGTTCAACTATAGGTGGAGCAGATATAATTTATATTCAAATGGTTTCTTTTGTTTAATTTCACTTTTTCTTTCTTAAAAATTTTTTGTTGCAAAAATTAATCAGAGCTTCACTTTTTCTATGGCAAAAATCTTTTGTATCTCAACGTTAGTAATTTTTTTATTGTTTTCTTGCATTCTTTCTCCAGCTTTTCTATTATTAATTAAATGTTCTTTTTTTTTTATCTTATTTTTTTTTTCTATCTTATTTTAAACATATAGATTAAATTTTACTTTGTTTAATTACAGTTATTTTTTTTTTATCTCTTTATTTTCTTTTTTCTCAAAAATTCATTTAGTTACATATTTAGTTTTTATTAAATAACATTTAGATTAAAGCCATAGTAGCTGTATTTTGAAATAAACACAACACAAAATAACTAAAAAATTAATTGAATTATTAAAGTTTAAAAGTATATGTTAACTTTTTTTTATTTTTTATTTTTTTTTTTGATTATTTTAAAATACAAAATGCTTTTAAAGTTTTATAGAGATTATATACAAACATATGTAACGATATTATACACTTTAACAAACAAAAATACTTTTAAAAAAGCTAAAAATACTAAAAACCTCAAAACATCGGGAGAAAATATTTGTTGCGTATGTATCATGATTGAGAAACTTATGTTATTAATCTGCTCAGGTAGTCCTAATAACCTGCGGATGGTCTAAAAAAATTTGTCTGAAACTTAATAAAGAAAAAACTTAATAAGAAGACATTCAACCCGTAGCTAGAAAAAACTCAAAAACTTTCTTTCGACAATGAAAAATTTTTTGCTACATTTATTTTTTTACTATAAATATTAGGGATGTGCCAAAAATATTAATTCCTAAACCGTAAAACAGATTTCTTTAGACACCTTCAGCTTTCTTTGGAACTACCAAAAAATGACAGAGGAGGAATTAATAAACAAAGCAGCTAATTTTGTAAAGAAATATCACTGTTGGTTCGGTTAACAGAATATTAAGACTGTCCGAATGATGGGTTGTTGTTGATGACTGTTTATGTACTTTTTTATTTACTTTTTATTTAATTTTATCTATGGATCTGTATATTTATATGTACATGATGTTTGAATTAAAAAATTAATAATAATATAATAAAATAAATAATTAAATTCTATATTATAATTTAACTTATTTTACTGTAGCTACCAGATATGGTACAAATAAGTTAAATTTGAAGTATTATCTAAAAAAACATTTTTTACAAAAAAATAAGATTAGATTTCAAATTTTTTGCAAACCAAACGTTTGGCGCATCCCTAATAAATATATGCTGCAGCCATTTTTTAAAACGCCTTATTACGTATTTTGTGAAAAACGGAATTAAAAAAAAAGTTATTTGGAGAAACTCTAGACATCTAAACTAGCTTATTTTGTGAAAAAAGTCCAAATTGATTTTTTTTACCGTGACGTGTTTTAAAAAATGGCTGCAGTATGGATGATACAACAAATATGTTGAAATGAGATAATTAAAAAACATTTAAAAGCTCTTAACAAAACCCACTAAACCAAAAAATTTAAAATTAATTACAGCTCAGTACAATTAAAATTTTTAAGTATATTGGTTATAAAGAAATATCTAAATCATTTTTTAATTTTAATATAAACTAATTTTTTTTCAACTCTTGTTGCAGTTTAAAAAATGTAAAAAATCCACTTATATATTGTTTTATTCAGGATCGCATGAAATATAAGTAAACTTTTCTAATAATTATAATTCTTTTCCACTCAAGCTGTTTTGTTTTAATTTTTTTGTAGGTATGTTATTATATTTTAAAAAATTGACAAGATTGAAAAAAACATGAAGCATATTGACATCCCAGTGGAAAATTTGAAACTCCAATTTTAGATTTGCCTCTCTTTTGATAATTTCTGATTGCTAAAACTATTTCGTCTGCTTCTTAGATCATTAAAAATGATAGACACGGCTTTGTCATAAATCGTTGAAGTCACAATTTATTTGCGTATATGGTGTCACTTTTTGGTAAAAAACTAGAAAAACAAACTAGAAATTAGATTTTATTTAATTTTTTTAAGAAAACTCCTTCTATTAAAGATATATGAAATATATTTTTATGGAATATATTCTGATAAAGACAAAACTATTTATTTATTAATATTGTAATAAATACTAACTCTTATCCATGAAATGATATATATCTGTACCAGTTTTATATCTTTTTGTGCAATTGTATGCGACATAATTAAAATAAATCAAAAAATGTAAGATAAATGCAGAAGGAAACTTGACGCATAAAAGTTTATTTTGCCACAAACTGACGTTCAGGCACAAAATTTTTTTGGATTAGGTTTTAATAGCTGAGGCGTTTTATATTATTATTTAGTTTTTAATCAAAATCAAAGAAATGAACTTTTTTTTATGACTATGTTTTACTGGTTATCTTCTTAGTTCCATTTCTATAGTGTTACATACAAATGTTTGTAATTGTAAACGTCTTTGGCATATGTTGAGTTTGCAGGCATTATATGGAATAATCGCATATATATATATATATATATATATATATATATATATATATATATATATATATATATATATATATATATATATATATATATATATATATGCAATACCTATAAAATGAGAAAACTTCAAAATTTTATTTTAAATTTTATAAATCTTGTTTGATATATTATTGTTTTTTTGCTATAAATATATAAGCAAGATGGAAAAAATTTCAAATTTATTACGCTAAGAGGAGGTCGCAAACCCCCCAAAACAACACTGATGACAGTGCACTTAACCACTGAGCTATCAATAAAATGCATTTAGCATTTAGCAAAACAAACCTATTTATAAGTATCTTAAAAGCCCTATGTATGCGGAAAAGGTGGGCATGTTAATTTTTTTACTCAAAGTTTTTTTCAGAATAAATTAATTTACTAAAAAATATTGATGTAAATAAGATGTGTAATAGATTTGTATAGAAATGGTAGGTTTGGTAAAGACCCGTATTTTACTGATCCAGAAAGCTAGGATATATAAGGAAAAAGTATAGAAAAGTTCTGTGGAATAGACTTACAAAGACCCGAATTTAATGAGTCGGATCTCAGCTAGCTAGTGTTGCAACTTTTTTTGACTTTTTTTTTTTTTTAATGATTATTTTTAGATGTATAAAAACAAAACTTATGACACAGTTGAAGCTCTTCCTTCTGAAGAGAATGACTTTAAAGATGATTTTAAAGAAAATGACGCAGTTTTAGATTATGAACTTGAAAACATCAATAAGTTTGCAGGTAATGATGGTTTTTGTAATACAACCCCAATCCAGCAATAAATGTTAATTGTGATGAAGACAATACCATTTATAATATTATACAAATGTTGATTGTGATGAAGACAATACCATTTATATTAGTAATAATGATGATCAACCTCTGTCTAATATATTAAATAAAAACAAACCAGTCCTTTTTTTTCTAAACAATTTTGGAATAAAACTTACATGTCAGTGATTCCAAAGCACAAACTTTGTTAAATATGGTTGCTGTGCATAGAAACAGGTTGATTACAGTAATTTCAGAGCCCTAAAGATTTGAACCTACTTCTACTACTATAAATAAAATAAAGATTTGAACCTTTAACTACTTGATTGTGAGCCAAGTGTTCTGCCACTTCTACTTCACCACATTTATCTACATTTGGGTGCATGCAAATCTACATTTGGGTGCATGCAAATCTACATTTGGGTGCATGCAAATCTACATTTGGGTGCATGCAAATCTACATTTGGGTGCATGCAAATCTACATTTAAGTGCATGCAAATCTACATTTGGGTGCATGCAAATCTACATTTGGGTGCATGCAAATCTACATTTGGGTGCATGCAACTGTAATTTCATTAGTTAATACATGGCTCCTATATGGTAGAGATTTAAAATTGATAAATCCTAAAGCAAAGCACCTAGAAAAAATTCAATTTGAGGTGAAAAAATTCAATTTGAGGTGACAAGTTGAATATAGACAGAGAAGTGTAAATTTTCCAGATCATCTCTTGAAACTTTAATATCACCAAAGGCTAAAAGACCTGTACATGTCTAAGCAACCCCAATAAAAGGCAAAGTAAAATATCTACTAGTATACACTAAGAAAAGATGTTAAAAATACCCTATAGGGTTTTCATATATTCAATGCTAAAAATGTTATGTTAAGCTTAAATTGCAAAGAAAAAAACTGTTTTAAGGGTTTTCATGCATAAGAACTGGCGCCATCCAACATAAGAACACCACCCAATATAAGAACAACACCCAACATAAAAGCTAGCACCACCCAACATAGACATTTGAATGCTTCTTTTTAACCTTAAAAGCCTATTTTCACAGATAATCTAAAATTTTTAAAAGAGCAAAAATGTTTTTGTATTTTTGCAAAAAAAAACAACACGTTTTTACTCAGTTAATAATTTTTTTTTGAAGCTAGTTTTGGATGAGCTCCAAAGGGTTGTTATTACTTTTATTACTTTAAAAAATAATTGATATAGATAATTGATATTGATATTGATAATTGACACTTTTTTTGGAGTAGGGAAAGTAGAAGTTAAGGAAACTTAGGAAGAGTAAATGTTAATGAAAAATTAGGAAGAGTAGAAGTTAAGGAAAATTAAGGGTTGTCCATAAAGTGCGTATGCTTTTATTTAGACCCCCTCCCCTTCTCCTCTTAAGGTGAGTAGGTTAACAAAATAATGCACATTTTTTTAAGACAAAAAAAGTACTACATAGATATTAAGTGCATGTTAATGCACATCTAAATATACATGTTGTGAACACATTTAATTTAAAGAAATATAGTGTATTTGTTTTTTATTTGTTGCTATGCAGTCATTTTAACAGTTTTTCTAACTTTAATTTATTTTACTATGAAGCATTATAGTCTTTTGTGACTTTTTATTTCAGGTAATTATTGGGATGGTTGGTACCCTCCTCCATCTTTTAATGAACAATCAAATAATTCTTTCAGTTATTTGTCCAGTACTGTGAAATGTGGTCATGATATCCCTATTGTCATCAATCACTGTGATAGTTATTGTCTATTTCATATTGATGAAGATCCATGTGAAATTAATGATTTATCCAAAAAGTTCCCTGAAGTTTTAGCAGAACTGATAAATAGGCTTAATACATACAGACAATCAATGGTTCCACCTAGAAACAATATGACTATTGATCCAAGATCAGATCCGAAGCTGCATAATGGAGTATGGCAACCATGGGAGATGCTTAATTAATAGTAATTAAATTTATCTTTGCATATTAATTATTAAATTTATTCTTGCATTAATAAGTAAATTCAATTAAACCTTAGTTTATATAATTTTAGTATTTTATCAAACCTTGACAAAAAGAGAATGTTTATATAAAGATTATATACTTTTAGTTTATTCATTATGGCTTATAAATTGAATATATTTTGTGATATCTTTTTGAACATCTTATATGACACCTGTTTATTTCAACTATAATTGCCACAAGCTGTATATACTCTAGTATATCAATTTTAGTATAATTAAAGTATAACAATTTCTACTTAATACAGAAAACATTTAGATATGATTTTGGTATTTGATAGGTTTTGCTACATCGACTGAGGGATTGGCATGAGGCAGCAATCTTTTGATTAATTATTCTCCTTTTTTTTTCTTCTTTTCCCAAAAAAGCTGTATAGATTGAAATAAGCAAAATAAGTGAGCAAATGCTTATATAAATATGCTGTGGTATATATATATATATATATATATATATATATATATATATATATATATATATATATATATATATATATATGCTGTGGTATATATATATATATATATATATATATATATATATATATATATATATATATATATATATATATATATATATATATTCAAATAAAAAGTTTTAATATTTGTTGAATAATCAAAAACTCTCAATCAAACCAATCCACCAATCAAAAAAGATTTTCTATTTTTTGATAGTTTTGATTGAAAATTAAAATCAATAGTTTCTTAAATATTTTAAACAGTTTGTAAACACAGCATAGAAACCTTGTAAAAGGTTACATACCTTTACCCTTAAGAAAAGAAACAATACAGAAAACAGTTAGATATGATTTTGGTATTTGATAGGTTTCACAACTTAAGCACAAAAATATTCAGAAGGTTATATAAACTTTACAGAATATTTTACAAGAATTTATGGGCAATAAAGACGCTCCTGTTTCTCCTATGTTGAGAAGTATTTTGTAGGGTGAGCAGGAAAATCAAACAATGCAAGTTATTTTTAGACATTTTCATTCTGGGTGATTAAGAATGAGAGCTATAAAAATTTTTTAATGTTTTTGAAAGGAATTAAATAGTTTTAAATGTATTAAATGCAACATTTCAACAGCTAAAAGTAGTTTGTTTGAAATGACTAAAACATAGATTTATAGATCTCAAGGTCTGATCAGCGCCTAATAAAGAAATACTTTTTAATTTTTAAAATTTTTAAAAAAGGTAGAGCTTAAAGAAAAAGAACATGTGGCAGCCAAGACACCAGCTTTGTGTTTGGTACACTTTAAATAATTTTTAGTCTGCTCGTCCACCGTCTGCAACAGAAAATTCTGTTAAAGATTGCTGACACATTACTTTGATGTCCTCACCACTAAGTTTTTTTACACATTTTTTACAAATCTTTTTGTAGATAGTTTGTAAATTTTAAACTTTTTTGGCATTTTACACATAACAAAAACATGGCTCTATATACATATACACTAAAAAAGTTAGCAATGACAAAAGCAGGACAAAATAAGAATCATTGGGACACTGGGATAAATGGTATAAAACCGGGAAATTCCGGTCAAAACGGAACAGATGGTAAGCCTATATATACAGTTCTTATTAGTATAATGGTGTAACATGGTTTTTTTTGTGTTCTGTTTTGTGTAATGTTATGTTCAGGGATGTGGAGTACCAAAAATGGCTGAAAGTCACAAAAAGATTATTTCTTCCTGGTTTTGATATGCAGGAAGCTTCAAAAATGTAAAGAAGTTTATGGACTACTTTTTGAAATAAAAGTAAGCCTTTTAGGTTAAAGGAACAATAAATTTTAAAACTTAGAGTTCTTATAAAAAATGGGGGCAAGAATTCCAGGGCTCTGGGCTAAGAACAATACCTTTCAAGCCAAAAATATGAAATGAATTTATTTCTTATTGCAAATCATAAGTCATAAGCCATCATTTTTAGAGCTCCTGAACACCAGAGACTAGGAAAAAATAGATTTAAAGTTGGAGTTATTTTGGGACTCAGCATTTTGCTTTGTTTAGTTGTATTAAAAGATTTACATAAATATTAGCTCTTTTTTTAATTTGGAATGTTGTTACCTGTTGTTCACTTGGTTTATATGTGAATAAACAAGGCTTATGTGTGAATAAAATAGGTTAATGAGTGGGTGAAAGAGATTTTGTAGTACCCATAGGTTCATTAATGTAATTTTTAAAAGCTTTAATCCATTTAATTTTTTAGCTTCAGTGGGATTTAACTATTTTGTTCATAGCATTTTTATCCATTAAGGAAAATTTGATATATATATATATATATATATATATATATATATATATATATATATATATATATATATATATATATATATATATATATATATATATATATACACACACGTTATTTAGTTATTCGTTTGCTTTGATTTTGATGTCTTTTTTGACTTGATGATGTTATGTACTATTTTTTTTTTTAAGTAGTGTAAGCGAGACGAAACTGTTAAATATCACTTGATCTAAAAACTGCTAAAATTTTGTCTCTATAGGCAAGGTTCCATTAATTAAATTGCGTCTTGCAAAAATTGCTAATATGGTGTGTTTTGCAAATACGCTAGAGTTTCATTCTATTTTTCAACGTCAATCACTGAATATACTTTTTTTTTTAAAAAAAACAAAAAACAACCTCTTTAAACGGTATCAACTTTGTTAATATTTCATACAATAAAAAGATTGGTTCATTATACAACCTAAAAAATCATTAAATATGTAGTTTTGCCTGGCATTTTAAATGTCTTCAAAAACATCTTTTTTTTAACTTTTTGTATGCTTATTGTATTATAGCGAATGATATTGATTTGAGATCACAGTTTTGTGCTGTTTTATTAAGTACTTTATAATAATAAGGATTTCTGTCTAACAATCGATTATTTTTGGTTATTGGTCTTTATAATAACAGGAATCAGCTTTTTGAGAACATATTATCTAAGATCATAATACATAATAATATTACATTTCATAATTTTGCGATATTGATTGTCAAATTGATTGATTGAAAAACTACAGTTTTTGACTTAATTTAACTTTTAAAAAGTTATTTAAAGTCCAAATAAAAAATGTTTACCTCTCAAAAACGTTGATGAGTATAAAAATCTATTGAAGCCACGCAGAATGAAATTTCACAAGAAAAATTGAAAAACAATGACGAAAAGGTGTGCCATGATACTAAAAAGTAAAGAAAATACATTTTTTTATTGATTATACTATATTTTTTATAGTAATTATAAAATAGACCACATTTTTACATTAAAATATCAATACATGGGCATGTATATGCAAAACTATATATATATATATATATATATATATATATATATATATATATATATATATATATATATATATATATATATATATATATATATATATATATATATATATATATAAAGTTTAAAATACTTTATTTGTCGGATTTTCCTAACGAGTTTTTAACGCTAAATGTAAATTTTAAACGCTAATTTTTCTTTTACAGCTTTCCGTTTGAATTTACACGCTGCACGGGTCGGAATGACAAACAAAAATTTTGAAATTTTTTTATTTCCATCTCGTTCAGCCTTAAATACTTTTAACGTTTTAGCAAGTTTTTTTTATAATCATTATACTTGACTTTTATGTTTTATAAACTTTATTATTAAATTTTATATTTTAACTTTAATTTTAGTTTTAATATATTTTAACTTTGCAACATTGTACTTTTTAACTTTTCATTGTAAATTTTAACTGTATTTATAGTAAAATTTGTTTATAAATTTTTTTTATTTAAATTGTATTTATTGAGTAATCGAATGATCATTGAGTAACTTTTTAAACTTCTACTCTGTCACATTACTCATATACATTCAAAGCGTACCGTTTGTGTTCTAAAAATAAAACTAGTTAATGTAGCGCAAGTGATTGTGAGACTGATATTCGGACAAACAATTTAATAAACATGAAGAACAAAAGCCCTGCAAAGTACCGTTCTTGGGGAATTCGTAGGTTTTAGATACAGTGATAGATGAACTCCAGAAATATTTTTATAAGATTTCCTAAATCTGGAAATAATTAAGAAATTATGACTGGCTGCCAAAAACAAAAAGTTTTAAATTAAAAACATGGCTTCTTATGTTTGAAGAAAAAAAGGATTTTAACAACATTGCTAAAACATTGATGATTAAAAATAAAATAGTAGTATATAGGCATTATTTGATTTTGTTGGTCCAGCAAATTAAGATTTAAGTTACTAGATTTCCGCAAACAAAGATACTACACAAAAGAAACCTCACTAATTATAGCCTTGTTTTACCTTTAAAAGTTGTAAACTTAAAAGAAACATCTTCGTTAGAACCATGATGCTAAAATATGGCAAAAATATTGAGCATTTTCTATTTTGTTTAGCAAATACAAATTCTAACCCTGCATAGTTATATTTTAAACAGCAAAAAACTATAAAATTAGTTTTTTAAGGATCTTTTTAAAATATCTAGTAATACAATCGGCAGCGAATAATTAATTCTAGAATCAATTTTACTTAAATCTTCAGGCTGTTTTCAAATTTCTTATATAAAAAGCGTGTATAACAGAACATAAATAATAAAATTTTTACGTAGCTGTAAAGGCCCTAAAATTAAAAAGACATTTATTTAAGTTATACTCCCTCAAGTATTGAATTTCTTTACAAATCTATTTTTATTCCTTTCATGTTGGTGAATAAAAACTAACACCTTTTAAAAACAAATAAAAATAGAGTCCATTATTACAAAGTTGAGTTAAAAGTAAATAAAAAACTACATATATATATATATATATATATATATATATATATATATATATATATATATATATATATATATATATATATATATATATATATATATATATATATATATATATAATGCCAGCCTCTATTTGTAAACTTAAGATGTTATCACAAAATAAAAAAACATCTCAGTCTTTGGCCAATAATATAATTATTCAGATACGTAGCTATGAAAATAACTTTTTTTGACAATGTTATAGATCTGTCACACATTGATCAGTCAAAAATCTTTCAGAAGCAATTATCTTTTCAGAAATTGATTGCATATTAACTACGTAACCATTTAACAAAACATAAAAAGTAAAAGTTTTATGTGTGCAATGCCAAGACAATTTGCAATCCAGTCGCATATTTTTTTTGTTGCATGTTGCTGTTTTGACTAGTACTAATGCTTATTATGCCAGTTATGTCCAATGGAAAATCATTTTTCATTAAATGGTAATGCACATTGGTAATGAATTTTAAAATGCTTTAGGATCATTTTTACAAACAAAAAACCTCGTTCAAATTTTTTTCCAATACCAATATAAACTTATATCACAATCATAAACCTTAATGAAATACATCACATTTCATAGAACTTCAAAAATGATTTATTTGTCCGAATGTCGATCCCAGGATTCTAATTAGTGAAATTTCGTGACGTCGACCAAACGTACGCTATTGAAACAATGTTTTTCAATTCAATTGATTCTGAATTAAACAATGGACAACCACGCTAAACTACGATATTATTGCCAAACTATTTTATTTGTTTTTTTGTCACTGACGGGTTAACATTTATAGCTTTTTTTCATTCCCTGGTTCAGCTGTTTAATATTTAAGCCCAAAATATTTTAGCACATCCTATATTTAACTCGTTTAAATGTTTTTTTTTTTTTTTTTTTTATGGTAAATACGAGTGTGTTGTGTATACTTTACTTGTTATGCAAGTTACAAGTTTGTATGTAGCGCGTTTTGAACACGTTTGTTTGTAACGCGTTTTGAACACGAAAACTATTGCTTTTAGCTGTGTTTTTTGAGTTGTTTTGAGTTTTATTAACACTGCATATTTATTTTATGATTATTTAATGTATATATTATTGAGATTATGAAAACTTCTAACAAACTTAATTTTTTACACTTTAAAATAAATAATTTAATGAAAGTATATCAATCCCAATGCGACGTTAGTGGCCATCCATAAAGTACGTACGCAGTAAAACTCCTGATTTAGGACCCTCCTTGTATGTTTTCAGCGCCACCTTCCCTCCTTCAGCATACGTGCGCTTTATTTATGACAAAAAAAATACCCTCTTTCCCAACGCAATTTTAAAACACAGGGTAGTTCTAAATAGTGCTTCTCAGTGAGCTGATTAGTTATAAAAATATTTGTTTTTTAATCTTATATTGATTCTCAGAGAGCGTTGCAGCGGCAAATTATAATTGAAAAACGCTTTTTGATGGTCTAAAGTTAGTTTTTGCCGCTGGTATGTTATATTGTTTTACAATCCTAGAGGAAATACTTTTCTATAAGTTCTTGTATATTATATTGTTTGTTACTTAAGTACTAAATGCGATGCTCCATATGCTTCTTCTCAATCGGGGTTCGTTAATAGACAACATTTTTCATGAGAATATCATTTCTTGTACCTACGGCCATATATGCGTAATGAACTTGCATGATAACGAGATAGATTGTTGAATTTTGGTTGTTGCAGAAACATTTTATTTAAGAGTTGCAATTAAGTTCAAAGTTAATTAATACTAGATAAATTTGTTGAAAATTATATAAGATCAAATAAATTTTTAATCTTTGTTGTCAATTTGTTACAGAGTTAAACTTAATTTTCAGCGAGTGGCTCAAGGCACAAATGCTAGTGGTCCTTGGTACAACTGAAAAAAAGCTTATGGTACTTTGGGCCACTAATTTTTAAACCCTTCTACATGATGTCATTTTATAGTTTGAGTAAATATAATTATACTAACGCAAATTAATTAGTATAGAGATATGATCTTATCAGTTTAACAATTCGAAACTCAAGACCTTAGACAAGTCTAAGGTCTTGAGTTTGGGCATTGAGAAAATCCCTATATCGTTTTGAATTAGTAAATTATCAAGATTCAAAATTTTGTTTTATTGATCATTAAGTTAGTAATAGAGTTCAACACAATTAAGGTAGGAATAAAATTGTTAACATTCTGGCAACATCAGTTATAGTTTAACGATTATTATTGCTGTTTTGTGTAACTATATTGTTTTTTTCATAACAATAATAATTTTCGCTACTTACGGTAAAAATGTATTTGTAATAATTTTTTATATGTTTAGGTTAGAAATATGTTTTGAAAATATATCTATTAGAAGTTTATTTTAGAAATTTAATTAGAATTGTTATTAGAAGCAAATCATTAGAAGCAAACAGTGCTCTCAGAAAAAAATGAAACATTTTTCTTTAACAAGGCATTATACTATTACCAAAATACTTCAAAAATTAAACCTTATATATTTAAAAATGATTTGAATTTTTACATATAAGTATGTGTTACAATTTATTGTATAAAAATAATAGAACTACTATAGATTACTTGTTTTGTTTTTTTTTATTTTTTATTTTTTTTTTTTTTTACTATAGATTACTTTTTTTACTTTAGATTATTATCTGTTAAGCATTTATAACACGATCATTTTTGGTTTTATAAGTTGCTTATTGCTATAACTTATTTAAACAATAAACGCTATAACTTATTAAAATAATAACTAGTTGAATTTAAAATGGTTCAATAATAACAGAAGTTTTTTTGCATAGTGTTGTAATAAAAAAATAAAAGAAAAATAATTTTAAAAAAGTGTATTTTTTAAACATTATTAATTGCAGTGGACTTAACTTTACCAAAGTGAATTCAGAAAAAAAAATGTTTTTTATTATTTAAAAACTTTGGCATATAAAATTCGCCGAATGGTCACACACGAGCAGTGAACGCCTGAGGGAAGAAATGAAGTACATTAGAATAAAGGAGAATTATTTATTAGACACAGCATATTTTGACAGTTGTCAAGACAAAAATAAAGATTAATAGAGGAATATTTAAAAATAAGTAAGACAAGCTATACAACCAAAACAGTACTCAACCATAATAACAATAAAAAATAAATAAATAAATAAATAAAAGAAATAAAAACAAACAATAATAAAATATATATATATATATATATATATAAATAAAAAATAAAAAAATTGTTTTATAAATACCAATATGAACTAAAATATACAAGAAATACATAACCAGTCAACAATTTGTAAAACAAAAAACCATTCAACAAATTAAAAATATGCTAACAACAATGAAAGGACTAATAATGGAAAAAAAATATTAATGCTAATGTGTAAACATAATTAGTGTAGTGATAAGTAATAAACATCTCCTCAGAGTCGCGTCTATTATTACTGGCGTTTCGATGAGGATCAGCATTTATAACTAGTTTATCCCGTCAGACAAACGTCATCGCCACTTATGCTTTACCCCGCGACTTACGCCTATTCCATACTGCAGTAAAAAAGGACTCACTACAAATAGCCAAAACCCAACCAACCCCAAATTTGTAAAGCACCAATATTTTTTTTGATGATATGATATAAAAAGTATAGATTTACTGAACAAACAAAAATAAAAATAACTAAATAAAAACACTTACCGTACCACCAAAAGAAAACATGAAAACAAAATAAATTAAAATTCTAATAGAAACATAAAAATATTAATCAATTTATTTTAAGAAATAAAACCAAATAGGTATTATTAGCATAAACAAGCCCAAGATAATCAGAAAGCAGTATACCTCATTAAAAAAAATTTTTAATAAACAAAACAATACCCTTAAATAAACTCTAACGCTGTCATAGATACCTCATTCGAAATATGATAACCAATCAAAAGTGTAGGAAAATGAGTAAC